CTTCGGAATGAAAAGAGAAGGGAACTGTAACCATGTGCCAAGTAGAGCTTTCCAATTCCGGACATGTAGCGGCGGTAAGAGTAGCTGTGTCAAAGTGGTGGGTGGTTGTAGCCGTCGTTTGCGCAGCACCTGGGCGAGGAGTTTCTGCGCCTTGGAGCGGAAGGGCTCGTTGACAAAGACTGCGAGCCGCAATAAGTAGTACAGCTGAGTGGGAGGGAAAGCCGCCGACAGTAGGTCACGCATGACTTGGAACGACGCTCCTGTATTCGATCCCAGCTGATAGAGAATCGAGTAATGGGCTTGGATGTCATCCAGGATGTCAGGGCGTAGTTGCCGTTGGAGATCCGGATGTAGTCGTCGTCGAAAGCGCTTGCGCAAGCCGAGGGAAGCGGGAGACGACAACGAGTGGCGTCGAAAATCCACAAGATGTTCCCGGAAGCCCACCTTGCGCAAGATTCTGTGTACCCAGGGCGCATTCAAATGCGGGCGTAGCAGGTATTGCCATTTGCTTTCTTGAACCCACACCGAGGAAACAGGAAGTTTGATTTCCACTGGTACAGCACAGAAGAGCCAGTAAGTATTGGATCTTTTCCAGTAGTGAAGCGCTGGTTCAAAGAAGGCATGCCGTCCACGAAGTAGTTGTAGAAATTTGCGACTGCGTGAGTGTTCACGACGTAGAACATCCTGATCAGTCGCCCCAACATAGTATGGTGTGTGCCATGGGGAGAGCCGAATGTAGACGCACGGTTGTTGGTGATGACCTGGATCATGTATGAAGTCATAGAGGTCAGGAAATCGCGCCCGCAATGAGCGTAGATGTCGCGTGTCAGCAAAAGTAGAGTGCATAATTTCACACAAGAGAGAAGTCTTGTAGAAGTGAAGGACTTCAAAGAACGGCGGGAAGTAGCCGTGATCTTGTGAAATGAGACGTTGTAAGAAACTAATCAATAAATAGGCAGCGCACCGACATCTGTGAAGCTCGTACCGGTTGGCCACGGTGTGCTGAGAGTTTGACATAGCGTGATTCGGAATCTGAAGGGCTATCCGGACCGCAACTAAGACTTCGAGGATGACACCCAGCCACGGCAATTGTGTGATGGATTCGTACTCCTCAGTTGGAATCGACGGTGGTGGTAGTCCAGGAAAACAGTACTGCCAGCACGTAGAGAATATGGTCAACGAGTGCAGAAGGTCGTCCAGCCACTGCCATTGTGCAACATCATCATAGATTCCGCAGCGGCGAAGTTCATCCAACATGGTGAGATACAACCAACGAAATCTACCACAAGGCGGCGACATGAATACAAGCATCACAGACAATCACACAAGAGGCAATGCAAGAACGAGCAAGTACAAGATCAATCTGGTGCAACGCAGACACTTGACGGACGAGTTTTCACCTGGACTCATCCGTGACATTGTTGCCGCTCCGGGCTCATATGAGAACGAAGGTCATCATGATGCCTTCTCATCCACAGAGTAGGCGAGCGGTCACGATGAGGTGACTCAATGCCTTCTCAGTGAGTTTGGTAAGATAGCCGGGCTCTAGTCCCCACGAAGCCGCCATTGCCCCGAGCGTGGGTGCGTCGCCTTTCGGCATGCGTTGGCGCGCCTGAAGGAGCTGCGTCGCCATAGAATCTAATGACTTGTTGCCGTTGAGCCGGGTCGGGTGATTGGCCCACTTAACCAGCGATGCCAAAGTGGTTGTTGTGGGTGATTGCTTGAGATAAAGGCGAGGTTGGTCACTGGTCCATGTGTAGTACTTGACAACTTCATCCGGCGTGCTGTGCATGGTGAGCAATTGTGACGCCGCCGGTTTGGACGGCGGTGACGACACCCCGTGAAGAGACTGGATGATCCGAGGTTGCACCACGCTATCAAACGACTTGCCATCCAAGGCGGCTGCGCTGGCTGTAGGAAGGGAGCTGGCAGGTGACGAGGATGGTGTGTGGTTGACCGGTGGCGGTGTAACCAACTCTGCATCATCCTTCTGGTTTGTCATCGTGGGAGAGGTCGATGCGCGAAGTGATGCGGAATACTGAGCTTGGAGAAGTTCGTGCGCACGATTTAGATCATTGAACTTCTTGACCATGTCATCGGTCTGGGCGGCAGGTGCGAGAGAGGTGTGATGTTGTTGAAGAAATTGAAGTACCAAGTTGGCCAAATGGTCATGGACCTTGATACGCCGATTGAAGTCATCGATGTTGAGACCCAGCGTGTTGGCAAGGTCCTTTTCCAGGGTGAGCAGGTTGAGTGACTGTGATCTTCGTAGTAATTTGGAACAGGTACTCCAAAGTAAGGCCTCGGTGCGGGTGCGAAAGCCTTCCCACGTCACGAATCGGCCGTGTGCAAACGGCCTGAGTAGCCAGTTGGTGAGGCCCCCGTGGATAACCTGAACCAGGCGTACGTCCCTAATATCCATGCCTGACATGTCGCGAAGGTTGCCGTGCGGAGTGTTGGCAACAGTCATGGGCAGGCTGAAGTTGTAGAGCTGATTGACATCAAACATGCCGTCTCCAGGTGTCCAGTCAGGCGAGGGAGTAAGCCAGGCTTTCTGAGGACGAACCGGTAGAGCCGCAGGAGGGCGATGTAGGTTGGGAAGTAGTAACCGGTGGTGGCATCACTGGTGGCATGAACTTGGTTGGCGTGGGTTCTGGAGGGATCGGCATCATGTAGTTGATCGCTGGGTATTGGAATTGTTGTGTGGGATTGTGAGTCGATTGAAAGTTGGTAGGTATCATCGGAAAGTTGTTGGTAGCGTTGTAGCCGGAGTTGTGTTGCCATGAAACCAAGTTGTTCCAATCCATGTTCTCCGAGACCTGGTTGTCATTGTGTTCACGTCGGCGTGCTTTGTGAGCTTGAGGGGACGGGCTCCGATCACGTCTGCGCCGAGTCCTGGATCTATCGCGATCATCACGTCGAGACATGGTGACGCAACTGACTCTGAATCCGCACACTTCCACCTTGAGAGAATCGGATCCGACAACATTCAAATCAATGCAAATGCAAGTCAACAGACCCCCGCTGCAATGGTCGATCGACATGTAAAAGGCAAAGCAAATACAAGTCAGCAATCTTCAACCGCAATGAAACGAGCAACAAGTTCAACCAATGGTCAGCAAATGCAATGAAAGTCGGCAGCCAGCAGCTGTGGTGAGACGTCACTATGGTCTGATGGCTGTCTTCCCTTTAGTGAAACCTCGTTCCTGGTTAAATGTGAAATTCCGCTGTTCTATGATAAGCACGTTGAGGTCAAATTTTCCGACAGAGCCGGCCCGGGGTCACACAATGGGTACACCCGAGGATTCCCCACGAATGGGGTGTACACACTTGAACTCCAGATGGAGAGTGCTCATCTTTCGAGTACAACTGATGAGTCTCGAGTACAACTGATGAGTCTCGAGTAAGATAAGTTTCGGCTCACGATGCACTCGGCTTCCCTCTAGTGACGAAAGCGTTACAAGGTCCAACATGAAGCACACACAGCGAGAGAAAGAAGAGGGCCAAATGGACTTTGCAACACAGATCAGCAGGTACACGGATTGGCGTCCCAATCCGCTTCACGGAGGTTCCACAGCCGTCTTCGTTGGCAGTAGGACTGTGGTCTCCCTACTGCCCCCTGCAGCAACGGAAAAAGGTTTTGGTGGCAGGGTATTCTGCCACTCCGCACACACACACACACACACACACACACACACACACACACACACACACACACACACACACACACACACACACACACACACACACACACACACACACACACACACACACACACACACACACACACACACACACACACACACACACACACACACACACACACACACACACACACACACACACACACACACACACACACACACACACACACACACACACACACACACACACACACACACACACACACACACACACACACACACACACACACACACACACACACACACACACACACACACACACACACACACACACACACACACACACACACACACACACACACACACACACACACACACACACACACACACACACACACACACACACACACACACACACACACACACACACACACACACACACACACACACACACACACACACACACACACACACACACACACACACACACACACACACACACACACACACACACACACACACACACACACACACACACACACACACACACACACACACACACACACACACACACACACACACACACACACACACACACACACACACACACACACACACACACACACACACACACACACACACACACACACACACACACACACACACACACACACACACACACACACACACACACACACACACACACACACACACACACACACACACACACACACACACACACACACACACACACACACACACACACACACACACACACACACACACACACACACACACACACACACACACACACACACACACACACACACACACACACACACACACACACACATCAACTTGCTGTCTCTGCTGTCATACCAGGCAAATCGCTCTGGCAAAAGAGTTAGGTCGACGAATTTCCACGGCAACACCCGCCACAAGTTGCCCTTGACCTGAACATAGTCTGAGATGCGGCCCTTGTCACCTCATAGGTCCCTGAGTTGCGTCCCTCATGCCGTACCTCCGAAATCTGAGGGCAAAATGGGAGGCACATCAACACGGAAACCCCAAACCCATCGTGTTTGAGGAACCCCTTTATGCAGCCTCCAAATGCTTCCTGAGTGGATTTGGCCGGAAAAGGTCACAAAAATTGTCCGCTCAAAAAGCTTGAAGTCCGACGAAAACCGTGGATGGACAAAGTCATGTACCAGTTGGGATGAATTTCAGTTGTCCCAGGCCCATGACACATTCTTGTGACAAAACAACAAGCTGGCAAGTTCTTTTGGTTGATGTTCACCCGTTTTCCCCCACTTTCAGGCGATCCACAGATCAGACTCCGCGCGACCGGATGCGCGCCTCTCGTGCCAGGCGCACGGGGTCATCCGTGGCCGTCAACTTCTCCCAAGAGAGCTTGGCGTTTGGCCTGGAGCCGCCGGATCGATCTGAAGTGAGCACTATTGTTGAAAGTGACTACCCTCCCACCAACTAACACGGAGGTGCAAAAAGGATCAAAAAGGCCCTCTTTGGAGAGGAAAGTAGTCTTACTACAGGGGTCTGTGCACTTCCATGTTAGCTGGTGGGAGGGTAGCCCTTGGGTCGCAACATGCGATTTCGGGCCCCCATGAAACTTGCGCTGGGCTGAAGAGGGGACGGCTGGAAGCCTCCTCAGTTCAAGTTGCTATAGGTATCTTCTCGAGGCAAATCAAAGAAACGCCTGCGTTTAGTCACCTTTCAAATGCTCGCACCACTGCCAAAGGTTCTGGATAGTTTCGGGGCATAACGCAAGGAAAGCTAAACACCAGCAGGAAGGAAACCAAAGAACCTCCCCACAATCCACCACCCAAAGGTTTTGAAGGAACCTCGCCCACAAATTGCCATCGAGCACTTGTGTCTCTCCTGACTGTGGCTCTGCGTCGAGTCCAGGCTCCACACTTCGCATGCAACAAAAGTCTTATCCTTCTATTTCTCCTGCTGTGCATGAACAGGAGTGGAAGATCAGCATGCGCAAGAATTATTATTATCGGACATGAACCGGTGGGTGTATCCTGAAGTCTTCCTTGAACTGAAAGGAGAAGTGAAGCTTCCTCAAACAACTCGTGGTATCTCCCACGGCTCATGTCGGTCGCAAGGCCCGGGACTTGGGCTTTTGGAGCTTTCAGGATTCGCGGCAAGGCGCTTTGGTTTGCTTGGGTCTTAGCAGTTTCGGGTATAGAGTACTCAACCTTTAGGGTATTCTTCTCCATGCCGGACAGGGGTAGTGTTACACCCAAAATATGAAACATCCGGTGGGGTGGTGTTACACCACCGGTCATCCTATGTGTTCTCTCGTCTAGCCCTCCCTCCAACCTCGCCTACTGAGCTTCTGTGTGGCAGGCGCACCCTCCATGAAGAGGGCCAGCAGCCGGCGAAAGGACAAGACCTGAGGCTAGCCAAAACTCGCCTTGGTTGCTGTTGACAACCCAGCAAAAAGTATACTTCTTTATTCTTGTCTTTTTGCGGGGACATTGGACAATCCACTGTTTCCCAAAAAAAGTTGAAGTCCAAAGATGCAACCAAATAGCCATGAACTCCCAGAGGTGTTGGGTTTTTCCCCTACGGCAAGGTTGGTTTTCTTCAAATACGTGCAGTTCCGGAAGGATATGGAGAGTGCTGGTAGTCCCTCATTCCAATTCCCGCCAACGAAGGGAAGCAAACTAAGCACGAAAAAGGAAAGTCCCAGGAGAAGAATTGGGTCCTGCAAACCAACCGCGAAATCTCCTGTATGAATTGTGTCATGCACCAGGCCCCGATCCGCTTAGTTGTCGCGAGCTCTGGGCCCGCGACGACGGCTGTCAGAATGATGCAGCCATAATAGATCGCCTTGTCAGTCGATTTCAAGAAAGGCCAGAACATGTCTCAAAATTGCTTTTGGGGTTGGCCTCCTTGGAACCATTTGAAACGGACAAACCCTTTCTTTACATGGTCCAGTTGCAAAATGGGTCGGCTTCCCACCGAAGCAGGACACCCCCCCCCCAGCCCCGCAAAGGGTGGCTTTTTGGTTGGCTTTCCGCTAAGAACCCATATGATGATATGTTTGAGTCACCCTGAATGGACCCAGGATGACCCAGGCATTGTCCATGTCTCACTGGTGTCCCCAAGCTCCTGGAGCAATTCCGTCGGGATGCGTGCGCCCATGCCATGTATGCCGGCCTGCCCCAAGCTACCTCGGCATTTGATCGTATGAAACAACATACTTAGATCCCTCATCTTTTTCAAATCTGTCCACTCCCACCGGGTGACTCTCCAAAAGAATGGCCCCATCTGACCACTAAAGTCAGCCAAGAAGTGGTAGGTTCAACCGACCAGTTTCTGACCCTGAGCTCCCCGTCAAAAGACCTGCGGGGCATCTGATCCAAACGCTAAGGCACTGACTGCGTGGAACAATTTCAGACCCCAGCTGCGGACGGGAGCCGGGGTAGGCGCCTTACCTGCACGGCTGAAACCAAACGTCCAAGGATCAACCTATGTGCTTCAGTGATTCAAAACAATAAAATAAAATAACAATCCAGAGACTTGAATCCAGAGTTGCTTTTTTGCTTGGAGAGTTTCCTAGAGCTTTGCTTTAGAGGCAAAAGACCCGTGAAGTCGTGAGCTTCCAAAGGCCCCAGCCTGTCGACTTGGACTCCTTGGGCCAAGACAGCTCCGAGCCGTCGGAATCCTGTCGCACGCGCGCGGGATCGCCCGCCGATCGCCCGAAAACATCGAGCTGGCTTTCTGATGCTTCCTGCAACCAACGTGCTGGATGGAAGGAATTCCACTGCGACATCTGTGGATGGACGAAAGCCATTTCGCAAACCCCAGGAAACTCAACGGAATGATCATTCCACACCTGTAGATGCAAAACTACCCATGGTTGCAATCTATTCATGCAATGCTGTGTTGGGGTTGAACGTTCGCAAATATTCCACTTCCGCTAACCCCAATGCAAAGGTTCTCTCGCAACATCCGCAAATTCAGACGCTCAATCCCTCAACAGCTGCTTCAAGGTCGTACCCCTCCAAAACTGAGGGAGATAAAGAAGCAGTACATCAAAGGGGCTAAGTGGTGGTAAACAAATAAAAATGTCAATACACATACAAATGCATAAGAACGTAAATGCAACAAACAAAAAGCAATAACAACCAACCAACCAACCAACCAACCAATCGACCAATCAACCAACCAGCCAACAAACCAACAAACCAACCAACCAGACAGCCAGCCGACCAAACAAACAAATCACGCACACACAAATCCATGATTACATTAACAAATCAATAAGTACGACTGTGTAAGTAAATGCACATTTGAAATACATATGTAACTAAATAAGCAAACGATTAATAAATACAACAAGGAACATACAAATGCATAAATAAACACACAACTAAGCAAAAAAACACGTAAACAACAACAAACTCAAAAACTCAAAAACCGCTCAACACATGAATCAACAACTGGATAAATCACCAAGAAACAACCACACACGTACATCGTATATGGGCTTGTTTTTTCGAGGGGGCGGGGGGCTTGGTAGGCTTGGTTGAAAGGGACACGCAAATGGCACACCTGCTGAAACACAAGAAGGTGTGGATGTGTGCCATCATAGGTGTTATACATATATACCGAAGCCACAGACGATATTACTTAGTTGTTTCAATGGGTAGGCCGCACAGAGGATATGTGACCACCTCCCCCCCCCCCGTGCATCTATTGATATACATCATGAACATATTACCATATTATCATATGAATAGCAGAGAGCAGCATAATCAACACGTACATACACCACAAACCAACCAAACAACCAACCAACCAAACAACCAACCAAACCAACCAACCAAACAATCAACCAACCAACCAAACAACCAACCAACCAACCAAACAAACAAACCAACCAACCAACCAACCAACCCACCAAACAAACAAACCAACCAACCAACCAACCAACCAACCAAACAACCAACCAACCAACCAACCAAACAAACAAACAAAAAAACCAACCAAAGAAACAAACCAACCAACCAAACAAACAACCAACCAACCAAACAACCAACCAACCAACCAAACAAACAAACAAAAAAAACAACCAAAGAAACAAACAAACCAACCAAACAAACAAACCAACCAACCAACCAAACAACCAAACAACCAACCAAACAACCAACCAACCAACCAACCAAACAAACAAACAAACAAACAAACAAACAAACCACCCAAAGAAACAATTCAACCAACCAAACAACCAACCAACCAACCAACCAAACAAACAAACAAACCAACCAAACAAACAAACACACCAACCAACCAACCAACCAAACAACCAACCAAACAACCAACCAACCAACCAACCAAACAAACAAACAAATAAACAAACGAACCAAAGAAACAAACTAACCAACCAAACAAACAAACAACCAACCAACCAAACAAACAAACAAACAAACCAACCAACCAACCAAACAAACAAACACACCAACCAACCAACCAACCAACCAACCAAACAACCAACCAACCAACCAACCAACCAAACAACCAACCAACCAACCCACCAGACAAACAAACAAACAAACCAACCAACCAAACAACCAACCAACCAACCAAACAACCAACCAACCAAACAAACAAACAAAAAAACCAACCAAAGAAACAAACCAACCAACCAAACAAACAACCAACCAACCAACCAAACAACCAACCAACCAAACAAACAAACAAACAAACCAACCAAACAACCAACCAAACAAACACACCAACCAACCAACCAACCAACCAAACAACCAACCAACCAACCAAACAAACAAACACACCAACCAACCAACCAACCAAACAACCAACAAAACAACCAACCAACCAAACAAACAAACAAACAAACAAACCAAACAAACAAACACACCAACCAACCAACCAACCAACCAAACAACCAACCAAACAACCAACCAACCAAACAAACAAACAAACAAACAAAACCAACCAAAGAAACAAACCAACCAACCAAACAAACAACCAACCAACCAACCCAACAACCAACCAACCAAACAAACAAACAAACCAACCAACCAAACAATCAACCAACCAAACAACCAACCAACCAAACAAACAAACAAACAACCAACCAAACAACCAACCAAACAACCAACCAACCAAACAAACAAACAACCAACCAACCAACCAAACAAACAAACAAAGAATAGAAATAACAACGCGAGACACTGGCAGAATCAAGATGCGACTGGGCAACCCTTGGCTCTCCGGTGGAAAAAACCCGAGGGATACACGGCCTGCCTGGATTAAAGGCGCCCTAATCAAAGGAGAGATTTACTCGCTTCCTGAGTGGATTGGCCAGAAAAAGAAGAAGAACACAAAGAACAACATGTTGCCTAACATGTTGTTCACCACTAGCTAGTCTAATCCTTGCGGGCCTACTCACCATGAGCAGTACGCTGAATCCTTGAACCGTTGTTCTGGTAGGCAATCTTGTAAATCCGCAATCCACTCTTGGAGATTAGGCTTCGAACCAGCTCGGCTAAAGGGCAAGCCGAGGAACTTCGGTGAAAAGGAAACACTCAGACCCCGGGGCGTCGGACGACAGGCGCCCGCCTCTTGGAGGGAGAGGCTGGATGTGCTCTGCGTAGTGCTGAGGTCACTGGTCGACTCCTTGAAGCGAGCAACCAGGGGGAAACAAACCAAATGACTTCCAAAGAGGAGCATCCATATGTTGGCAAGTGAGCGATTCTCCGAAGCCAGAACGTTCCTTCAACAGTGGTTGACTCTTTGCCCCCGAGTGTTTGAGGGCTGGGAAATCTATGCCAAGATCCTGGTGCATGTCTGCCGCCCGCGAGAGATTTCTCAGGGGTTACATCCTGGCAAGCATCCCTTGCTTCCCCTAGCAGCCCAAGAAAGGGCACCTCCAAAATTGCCGCAATAAGCCCATCTTTCGCAAGCCCCTTGGCCGCTCCGAATGCCGCCGGATTTCCCGGCCGTCCTGTGTGGTCTGAGGCCACCATTTGGGATCCATAGACTCCTGGCAGGGCCCAAAGCTCCATCAAACGGAGATCCGAGCAGACATCTGGCTGTGGGTCAAAAATAGGTACCCCAAATGGCTTGCCCTGGTAAATGGAAAGAAGGACTAAAACCTGCGGTCCCCTGGTGGTTTTATTTTGACTTATACTTATCTCATGATGGAATGGAGATTACACGCTTGACGCTTCCCGCTATTCCTACCTGGCAAGCCATAGGGCTGCCAGTATTTGTTCAACCAAATGTTGATCAAACAAAAAGCAATCGCACATGACCGTATGGCAACTTTTGTGGCCCAAGCCGTATGGACAGAAAAACAAAAACACATGTACCCCTACTAACACACAGGGTGTGTCAGGAACAATCCGAAAAACAAAACTCCACGTGTTGCCCGTAATGGACCCAATACTAAACCAACACTAAACTTCTGACAGACCTCATTATGGCATACTTTCAGCAACTAACTTCTTTTGATTGTAAAACCTAACTGCAAATTCTGGTATTGAGTTCACCCTCTTGTTTTGCATTGGAAGAGGGGTGTTCCCGGGATTCAATATTCGAGGGAAGCGATTCAGTGGTGGGAAGCAGGGACGAGGAGAAATCGGCAAAAAATGGATATATCCATATATCAGTGCGTCTCTTTTTAGGAGACCAACCCCACAAGAACGATGGGTTCCTTTTGGCTTCCCGCTTTTGGCGCCACAAAAAGGGGTGCCCTTCAAGAAGACAGACTCACACTGGAGAAAACCGTCCACATCTTCTGGCGTATTGCTGCTGCTCCGTCCTCTTGCATTGTCATGGCGCGCAACGCGAAAGGGGCGAGGGCGGCCCAGTACTGAGCCGAAGGGCAGAGACGGATTCCCAGGGTGAATCTTTTGAAAAACGAAAGAAGCAGTTCAAAGGCTGAAGGTATAGGTCCTGTCTTTGAAGCCATGGCCAAAATGGGACGCCACAGAGGAGCTGATTTCCCAAGCCATAGCTAGCGGTTGATCAACTCAGAAACTAGCGGTTCATGCCAGGGGACGTACACATTCAACCTTTGACCGGTAAAGACGCTTGGCTACGACTATGACTTTTTTTTTCTCTGGGGCTGCCCCACCCCTTCGAACTGTTTAGGCTGTTTGTAGCCACCGCTCTGGAAAGCCAGTTGCCGCTGTATAGATCGCCATCTTATGGTGCCCCTTCTGCACCAGCAAGACGAGCGCAGAGCCACCACGTTGTATGCCTACTGCATGAGATTTGTTACCATGTTACCTGCTTATTCAACAACTGGACGGGACGTGGAGAAGTGACTAGGGGGCCTTTCAATATTTTTTCAAATGCCCCATATGCACTTTTATGACTGGAAAAGGGGCACGGAACCGCGTTTCTAGAGGAATCTCTTTCTATTGACCCCCATTTTTCATGTTGGTGGGTGGAGGCTGGGGGTAGTTTCCATGCTCTGTCACCGGTTGAAGGCACGCGTAAGCCGCCCTTTTCGCCACATGCTCTCACAAAGCCGCCTGCCAGGTGGCTCGCAAAAGGCGATTCAGTCACAACCTCTAGGCCTCCAGTAGAGAGGTTAGAATTAGGGTACCAACTTTTTTCGGTTGTGTCTATTTTAGTAGGGGAACCCTCCCCAAAAAAAAGTTGGTAAAAGGGCATTGGGGGACCTAGACCTAAATGTGTTTGTCAAATTTTGGCAATCTGCCGCCCCCCCACCCGACATTTTTTGGGGTGCATTGCCTTTCGTTCCCCCCAAACCTGCCACAGCACCCCGCCTAGCGACGGAGCGTTGTGTACATCTTCTACGGCAAGCAAATTGTCCGACGGGATTCTGACTGAGCCTTGCGGTGGATTTCCCATTCTGATTCTCCAAAAGGGCGACCTGCTTTATGCAAACCTCCCAAGTTACAGAAGATTTCGTTGGACAAGCAGGACCAAAACACAGCTTTTGCGCTTTTCCTTCCTGAAACAGCCCATATAACCACACGACTGCGCATGCTCAGGGTGACCTGTTCTGTTCTGCTGCTTTTTCCTCTTCCGCATCCGGTCCGGATGCCAAGCCCCCGGCCCCAAAAATGATGCCTCCGCGCCTTAGGACTCCGGCTGGAAGCCCACGGGCCCGTCCTTCTTCGCGGCCCGGCGCTCCGCCCAATCCACCTGTGAGCGCTTGGGACTGGCGGACTTGCGGACTTTCGGAAGGCGGAAGGGGCGCAAATGACCTGGCAGATCGATGCGGAAAGGGTCAAACCAAGGGAAACCTACTGGAATTCAGTGCTGGCATGTCAGGCACCAAGAGGTGGGAGGTGATCGTTTCCTGGTATCATGGCAGTTTGTGGCTATCCCTGTTTACAAATGAGCCCCTTTCACGACGCACACGCGCACACACACACACACACACACACACACACACACACACAGACTCAACGTGGAAATGTGCACATGTACAAAAAGTGGTTGTGAAATTGCATGTCCTGGTCCCATCTGACTGGTTCCTAAGATTGCCCCTTGCATCGCAAAGGAACCTACCAGCCAATTTGGCACGTCTCTCTATTCCTAGTGGATCAGTGGCCCTTCCTCAAACAAAAAGATGACCCCTAGAGTGGACTGGCCCTCGCAAAAAAACAAATTAAACAATAAAACAAAAATGACCATGGCAGAAAGCCGTGGCTAAGCATTTCCCTCCGCTCCCGTCCCGCTCCTTGTTGGGGTTCATGCGCTCATTGATCTTCATCGCCGCCTGAGGCTTGATCCATTTGCCACGCTGAAGGCCATGGGAGTTGAGGCATGCGCTCGTGTCTGTTTGAAGGTGCCCCTTTCAAGTCGGCCGAAAGGGAATTAAAAAGGAATATCGGAATACCCGCCTGCGGTTGATTTTGCGAGGGGAGACCCATTTAAACCTCTTGTCGAGTTTGTAGCTTGTACTTTAACACCATGCGCTTGCCACGCTTTGCACATTCGCATCCGCGAAAACACGCCCTGGCGCCTCGGAGTGGCCAGCCTTGCTCAGCAGCGCAGCTTGGGTCTTCAGCATGTTCTGGCCGCGCACATTGTAACACCAATTCGGATGAGAGCTAAGCATCAAAAGATGTCACTCCGCTTGAATCGTCCGAGAATTCCCATCCAGCAAAAGATTCGGACCGAAAGCTAGCACCGTTGGCACCGTTTGCATTAAAAGTAAACCTTGTCTTTTCACCAGCCTGCTCTAAACAAGTGTTCTCTCCCCCGCCCCCCTGGGGGACACTTCTGCAACAGGAACTCGAAAATGGCAAGTTAAGCAACCAGACCAGCCTGCATCGGGGAAACATGCGACGGCAGCAAGCGGGAAATTAGCTCCGACCAAACAAAGCAGGAACGTGAAATAGCAAGTCGAACAAGCGGCAACTTTACTGTAGCCGCCGGGCAACTTTGCGACGCACTCTTTTCGCTCAAAAACCGCTGTCCGCATCGGCGCCAGATGTGAGACAAAGCCTAAGGCAGACGATGCCTCAGCGCGTGCAGCGAGTCTGATTCTGCAACTTTGATAATGCTCACTTCCAACGAGTGGATTGGCAAAGAACAGGTCCAAGCTTTCTATTGACCACTCAAATTGTTCAAACCCAAAAAGTTTGTATAAGTGATTCCCAAGTAGGTGTGCAACATCCTTGTACAATCAGCGCTCCAACCTTAAACGCATATCCTGCAGATTAAGGGAGCCAGGAGAAAGCCAAACCCCCCTCTTGCAGCCCTCTAGTGTGCATCCGACCCTCGTATGACCTTCGTGCATGCAGATATATATATTTTTTTATTTCTGGAAGGAACACGTCTATGCAGTTTGGTCGTTTGAAATGGGTTTCCATCTTGAACGGCGCAACGTCTGGAGGTAAAACCGATGCCTCCTGGGCGTAGAAGGCACATATGACATACGAAACAACACGCGGCCACGAGGAGGTATCCTGCGAAAGCTTAAATTTCTTTAGGGATTCCTTGATTCAAGATATGATGTTTATCCGCCCGCTTTTGGACACCTCTAGGATTGCCATCCTCAGCCTGGTCACACCCCCCACCCCCCGGTCCCCCCCTGGCGCTTGAACGGCTCTGAGCGGATGGTTTATAGGGGTCATTCCATTTCTCATTCTGTGCTGAGAACCAGCAAGATTTGGTCCTCCTTGGGATATTGCACATTGACCTGGATCTCCCAGGTGGGCAAATTTGAAGAAGCACCACGTGTCTCTGGAAGTTCTTTTCATGCAATTTCTGGGCAACCACAAACAACTGGATTCCGTTTGTGCCCATGCCCACTTGCTCAGTGAACCTGGCAAAAACATGTTTTGTGGCATCGATCCAACTATTTTCAGTGGGCAACCGGAAAAAAAGGGGGACAAAAAAAAAGGAGAAGAAAAAACAACGATTGACTGTATCTCCACTTCGGCAGGGCGCGTTTAGGCGGAAAGAGACCTCCAGCTCTCCCAGTGTGGGGAGTCCTGCTTGGACAACTTCTGCAGCTTCTCCTGGGAAACATCTTGGCCCCCCACCCCCACCCCCGTCGTGGTTGTGGGACATGTGTTCCTTCCGAAACGAAAAATACATAGGCTACTTGATTGAGGTGTGGTCAACACTTGATGCCTCTGGCAAAGCAACATCGCTAACATGGACCCCGCACAGTGCACCGGTCGTCGGTTCGTTGGTTTCCTTTTGGTTTCCCTGCGCCATCCCAAAAAGGGACCTCTATGTTGAGCAACACAATATTGCATGTGAATTGCTTAATCTCCGAAACTCCGTGGAATTCACCCATGCCAACCCCGAGACTTAACCAGGGAGATTACCATCCGGAAGACGTCAAGGGCAACCGTCCCATGGCTCTTCTCATGTCTCATGGGTGTGTCACAAAGGGACCCCCTGAATAGTTTGTTTCTTCGCCTAACCAACTTGAAAAAGAGCAAACCTGCTAAACCGTACAACAAACGTACACACACACACATGCAAACAACATACTTAAACCATACAACCACCTCCACACAACCTACAAAACAAAGAAACTCATGCAACCAACCTCCAAATCACAAACAATCACATACAAACACATGCAACCACGGCCAAAAAAGCAACCACAAACACACGCAACCAACCTCCAAACCAAAAACACAAAGCACAAGCACATATAGACAACCTCATTCAAACCTTGGATAGCCTCACAAACCCCAAACACACACACACACATCTTGATTGAGAAAACCCATATAACAAAATAAGACCGTTTGGCCGTTTGAATCGCCTCAAACAAAAAACACCCACACAAAGATGTCCCAAAACAAAACCGCCAAAAAAAACACACACACACACAAAAACACACACAACAACAGGGATGAATTCTCTCCGAGGGCGGGGAGTCGACGCGAGTGATCTCCTTCACGGTGACGGTGCTGCCCGCGGGCTTGGCGCGCTCCCAGGCCTCCTCGAGGCCCTTCTCGTAGTCGTCCGGGTTCAGCAGGCCGAACATGGGGTCCTCTCGAGTGAGCGAGCCAGCGGGCGAGCGAGGGCGGTGGTTTTTGACGGGGAATCCAGGAATGGGCTCCCAAAATGGGCTCCCCAAAATGGGCGTCCCAAAATGTGATACAACAAGATGGGCAAGCCCCAAAGATTAAGCCTTTATATAAAGGGGTGCTGGAGAAAGAAAGAGAGAGAACCAGCGAGCACGTCCGATGCATCAATGGCTCGAAGAAAAAAAGAGGAAACAAAAAGAAACAAAAACATGTTTTTCGAGCTGAAAGTGAGCAAGGCAAACAAAAAGGCCAACATCAAATCTGGAGAAAATCTGCAAGCGCAGATGGTGTGCATCTGTTGGCCACACTGCCGTAGCCAACTAGGGGCAAACAAAGGTGTGAGGTGACAACACCGAAGGTTCCAAGACCATCTTCAACCATGAGAATTGGACAGGCAGCACCCGAGGGCGACGGAAAGTTGGGCCCAAGGGCAAGATGCGGCGGATGCCTCGTGGAGCATCTTTCCCAGAGGGGACGGTCATGCTATATTCATGTTAGCCACACGCGGCAGCAATCGGACCAGCCCTGAACAAGCACGCTGACACCTTGCTGCTGAACTAAAACGGGCCATGAAACGGTGAGTTAAGTCTGGCAATGTGAAGTGCTTCCTTTGCCAGCTTGCATGTTCAAGGGGCGAACCTCTGGCCGAGTGCCCCGGAGATGCACATCAGCAAAGGGCCTAACAGGGTTCCCTAGATCCCCCCTTTGAAGCATTGTTTGCGGAGAAACTCATCTTAGAACAACTGGTGATGCCTGAAGCGCGTTTGTGGACATACACTTGCATGTGCACTATATATATAGATATATGTATAAATACAAATGCTTATAGTCTATATGTGCCTGTGTACACACATATATTGCATCTTTTTCGTGCACGCACTCTGAGATAGCTTACCACTTGCGATTTTATTTGCATAATAATTACCACCTGCAACGTCACGTTATACAAATAATGTTCATGGATCTCGGTTGAAGGAAAAGGTTGGTTTGCGCAGATACCAAGTCCTTACAGACCTCCTGGTAGCTCCTTAGCTCCCTGTTTTTAGAAGCAAAGTTAGATACCCAAAGCTCCCTAACGCTTCCCTTCCCACCAAACGCCCAGCTCCTTCCCTCCCTTCCCACCACTAGCCAGGCGGGGCAACCGCGTTTGTTTTCTCACTGCGTGACCTTGGTTAACAATCTACAATTTTAGCAGTGAAGTGGGGATTTCAACCACTAAACCACACTAAAAGATGTAAAACGTTTCCCAACTAGGTCCTCCAGTAGAGAGGTTAGAATAAGTGCGCCCTTTGTTCTGTAGTCTATTTTAGTAGGGGACCCTCCCCAAAAAAAGAAACGGTAAAAGTTGGCACTACTAAAAAACCTAGCCAACAACCACCCTGTGGACGTCCCGTCGTCTCCGGCGGTCCTTGGAGTCTTTGAAGAGCGGGTGCTCCCGCCAGGCCTTCTCCGCCTCCGCGGCGCGTTTGGTGCCAGGCACCAGTCGCCAGAAGGCGTCCTCCTGCCGCGTGCGGAACGGTTGTGGGTTGGACTCCCCCAACTGGGTTGTGTTTTTTCATATATATATATGCTGGTTTCCCGAACTGGGACCCCTTGTGACCCCTTCAAATGGGTGAGTTCTAACGACCTCACACGACCTCACCCCAAATGGTGGTTTATGTGGGGAATAGCCCCCCAACCACCTTATTTCAGGCTGGTGAAATCTTATAATTTATATAATGTTTCCCTTTGGTTTCTCAAACTCAGTTAGTCATGGGTGCTGTGACCTGCTGTGATGTGACATGTTTTTCGAGATGGAGATGGGAAGCCTGAAAGAAGCACACCCGGATGGCCTGCCATTATCAAGACATAGTTGCGGTCAACGGATTTTTGGGGAGGGTGGGTTCAGGTTGATCCACACTCGTTCTGTGCAATTTGGACATGGGTGACTATAAACCTCACATCTCCAGGAGTCGTCTCTCCCCCAATGGGATACAAAGGACAAACAGGAAATGCGACGGAACCCCTTGAGTGAACATGGTGTCCTTTCTGTAATCCTTGAAAACGACCGGTTCCGCAAACGGCTCTGGCTTCCAACCGCAGAGCAAAATGCAACACACACACACAAATAGATGCATCTGAGCCTGGCTTGCGTTTCCGAGTGATTTGGTCCCCGGAACCACCCTTTGAAAGCAAGATGGACTCCTGCTTACCTACGTGGCTTGCCCGGGGTCTGAAACTGAGATTGGAAACTATCCCCCGGTACTGTTAGGCAGGCGCGTGAGAGGTCTAGGAGTCCAAATAGGGGACTCCCCTTCCCCCCCCAACCAAAAAAACAAACAAACACTTCAACACGTACCGTGTCCCGTTGAACCCACCCCAACCAGACCACCCACAAAGAAACCCAGGTTCAGAGACCCGGTCTAGTGCTTAGAACTGCTTTCCTGGAAGGAGTAGAGGACGAAGGATCCCATGGCCACTGCCGGAAACACCTCGGATCCAATGGCCCCCGCGTGGCTTTGTGATCCATCGGACCTCCGTGCAGCAGGCGGGTTCCGGTGAAAATGACAGCCCCGAACCAGGGGACACATTGCGAACCAGGCGTCGCTTAGAAAGCAACCGTTGAAGGAGGTAGAGTTTTGTTTCTGCTGGGGCTATTGCTTTTTTCATGCTGGCGCTGGCTTTTGCTAGGGCTGCAACATGCCCATCCCCTCGATCAAGGCGGGGGCCGGGACATACGCTGGACAAAGGAAAATGAACGGATTTAGCGGACCCCAAAAAAGAGAACACCGGAGCACCCATGTCTTTGCCCAAAACCCGGCGGGCGGCTAGAGTGGTGAGCGGCACCAGCACCGCGGACCACTTCCGGTTGTCGCCATACTTCGCCTGGAGGCTGGGCAAACTGTGTTTCAACCACCGATCCCTGGTTCTTTTTCAAGGAAGGCAGGAGGTTGCTTGAAGAAATGTTGTCTATACCGCAGATGCACAAGGAAGCCAAACTGTTTTTGGGACCCTTTTTGGCGGGTTTCATGATGCTTCACGTTGAATTTGCGGGGGAACCAAGGCGATTAAGGTGATCCAAGGATTTGAACTGAACACGTCTCAAAATGCTTCAAACAGCGTCCAAATGATAATTTTCAACCTTTCCACAATACTTTTGTGTTGAAGACGGACACATTTTAAGTGTTAAAGGACTAAGAAAGATGCTTCCAGAAGGTTGAACAACTTTGAAAGAAACAACAACAGACTGCAGAGCCTGGCCTCAGCATCCTCTGCCAGCATCGTGAGCGTGGGCAGCGCGGCAGACACCGCCAGCGCCGCATTGAAGTCACCCGTTCTGCAAGGGCTACGAAAAACGCGAGCTCCGGCAGAAATGGTCAATGGTCTTCCATTTGCTTTTTCGCCCCCTGGAAAGATGAGAAAGCATTTCCAGTAGTGATGGATTCCCTTGAAACCAACAAGGTAAAATAACAAAATGGTCTTAAGCGAATGGAAGTGGTTAGTACCACATTATTTGCCGGAGGTTAGCATGGGCACATATGCCCGCAACGGATGCTCCCTTATGCACCCTAGCATATGCCAAAACAAACGAACAGCACTGAACACCTGGCGGGACCATACCCTCGCCCCAAAATGAAACTTAGGACCTAGGATTAACAAATCCCTGGTTGAATTGAGGGGTGTCCCAGAGGAGGAAGGAACAGGTTGCTCTTGGAGGGGGCGGTGGGGTCAAGCCCAATTCAGCCTTTTACAGGGGAGCCAAAGTAAGCTGATTTGAGCATCGGGGTGAGTCCTGTTCATCTGCCAGGCTATCGAGAGTTGGTTCAAATCCAGTTTAAACCATGGACTCCTTGTAAATGCCGGATCAGGTGGCAATCGGTGGCACAGGCATGCATACACATCATGCATGTGCGTCACCCGCTTGAAATTACGAGCCCTCTGGCTTCCGCGGATAAAGCTGATTCCTGTTACTCCACGGCCGTTTCATCCAGCCTCTTTGGCGCCTGTGCGGGGCTCGGCACAAAGCAGCACCGCAGGCCCAGCAGCGCTGCGCCAAGCAGCAGCACGCGCGAACCCACGCGCGCCATGACGACTGCGGGTGTTTTGCTTCGGTGCGCTGAGCCAAAGGTCTGCAAAAAGGGATTCGAATCCTCGCGAAGGTCGCTGGGAGACAAGGCGCACCTCTGCTCATGAGTCACAATCAAAACCCGGTACTAAAATGGTCTACCCAGATTGGGATTGTCCCTTACCAACCTTCATCTACCCGGGTTTTGATTGTGGCTCTCCTGACTTTTTTCAAAGGGAACCTCCTCGAAACAAACGCCGCACCACTGGAGGTCTGGGACCCAGCGATTTTCTTGCTTTTTGGGCAGCTAAGCCAAGCCAAGGCGGCCTTTTGGCCAAATCGATGGGTTCCGCAAAACAAACAGATTTGTCCAAAAACTTAATCCATGTTGGCTGCTTAAGCCAACTGCACGTTTTCAGCGAAAAAGGGAACATGAGTGCTCATCATCTATGAACGGTTTTGGTCCGCTTGGTCCCATAGCTGACAGGGAAAGACCAGAAAAACAGCTGGCTCGTCGCGGCAAACTTCTTGGACTACTTGGGTCGCAAGCAAAGCCCTGGTATTCAAGTGGTCTACCCGAAAATCAATTGGCTGGCTGTACCAATTGCTGATCTCCTGGTTGGGATCCTACGAATCTAAACGCTTTGGCCCCAACATGGAGGCCCCAAAGATTGTCTCAACAGGCATGGAAGCCTCTTGTTTAGACAAGGGTCGGCCCTGAGCTCCAGCGTGTCGGCGTAGAGCCCCCGGGCCTGGTGCTTCATCTCCTCCGCCTTCTCCTTGTTCATGCGCAGCCTCTGCACCTTCGCGGATCAGCTTGCAGAGAAGCCTACTTTTGGCTGGGCGGGCAACATCAGCCAACTCGGTTGCTTTCTGCTCCCCTGCTAAAAGTGTGACTTTTGGTGGTTTAATGGAAAACCCATTAAAGTCCTAACATCCAAGCAAAATGCCCCAAATAATTTCTCAACCTAAGGTCCGACCAGATGCCGCCAAGGGCGTAGATCGCTAATAACATGTAGCGTGGGCCAGCCGCATCTGTTGAGCTTCCGGGACAAAACATGAATGGCTTGAGGCTGTGAGGTGCGTCACCAGCTTGGTTCCACAACATGCACGGACCTCGGCAAAGCCCCATGCTTCAGGCTGCCGTTGCCATCCTTTCACATGTATTCCGCCTCTTTCTCAGCTGGCAGAAACCCATGACTTATAAACTTGGATGGGTACTGTGTTCTTTACATATAGTGTGCATTCTTACTATGAATTTTTGATACAACAAGTTTTGCTGGTCTCATGGAATGTGTCCCTACATGTAGCTGAAAGCTACATACGGTGTCTCTGCCCGCTCCTGAGCTTTTGGGTCCCCAGGTGTCCCGAACCCGAGCCCATGGCTTGCCTCGCCGGAGACCATGTTCTCCTGCTTCTTGGCGCGCAATGCCAGCACTTCGTCCCGCCGAGCCTCCGGAGAAAGTGAGGCAGCTTGAGTCACTCAGCTAGTGACCCGAAGGGAAGACCAAGGGGCAGCCCTGCTTTTTATGAGACCCGGTGTTGGTGGGGATGTGATTTTAACATGAACATGCTACAAAACACTGTGTTTTACGGTGTTTGGGTTTGACCATGTTTATCGGAGAACTCACCAAACAAAAGGGGGTGGGAAAGGCGCTGCACCACTCGGGAGTCCACACGGACTAACGCCGCTTTGGACAATGGCTTGAATCCACCCCCAAAAGAACTGATTCGAACCAGCGGGGACTTTTTTTTTGAACAGGCTGCCCACGGGCAATGGCATCAACAGTTAAAAAAGATCCCTTGGCCAAGCTTTACCATCAGAGCTCCCTGCCTCAGAGCTTCTTGATCTGGATGGGTGACTTGGAGCTCTGAAAATTGGGGCGGGTGGGAAACCAGTCGCCCTCGGCCAGAGGTTCAAGTCCCCATCCAAACCACCTACTTTCGGCCAGAAAACCGAGGAAACTGAGGTCTCAAATCGGGACTTAGTTCCTTTTAGGGCCGTTTCTTTGAAGGAGACCCTTTTTGGTATCAAAGAGAAGCCCAAAGGAAGCCAACCATTGAGGTCCAAACGACACACCGTACATGGGATGAATCAAAGGGGAGGCGGCGCCAAGGCCTTCTCGTCGTCAAAGGACGCCAAGGAGCTTTGCAAAGCCTCGGAAGACCAAACTTGCCGCTGCGATAAGTGGGTATGGCTCAAAAAACCGGTACTAAAATGGAACCCTGGTGAGTGGAAACATGGACCAACACCTGCGTAACCCTAGCTCTTAAATTTTGAGCCACAGCCAAGTAGGGAATGAGGGAATGGAATGTATACCATCCCAACCGGTGGTTTCCTTTCAGGCGGCTCAAGCAAGTGGGTTCATTCCATTTCTCCTTCCCGACTGAGCACCAGCCCTCGAAAATCGGATGGACATGGTCACCACGTTTTACCCCAAATTTGCCCCACGCCCTCGAACACAAAAAAAGCCATGCCTTCAGGAATCTCCTTGCAGACCCACCTTTTTGGGGGTTTGTCAATTCGCAGTTTCAGGAGACCGAAGCCGAGCGAGCTCATGCTGGGCCCGACCTAAGACATACCCGGTGTGCAAAAGGGCTGCAGCCGAAGAACTGTGTCAATGATCGTCTCGGTCTTCTTCTTGCGCCTTGGTATCACTTAGCCCCTATCGTGGCTGCTTGATCCCCCAAGTGAGGAACAAAAAACAAAAACGGCCTCCACCCTCCACACAGAAAGCGTCCTTGCCCCCACAGTTTCTGGAAAGCTCAGGCGCTGGGGGTGGTGGTTGCAAAGGCCGCCACGGCAGGTGACCGGCACACGGCTTTCAGCACTGGAGAAGCGTGTCTCACTACCCAAGACAACTAGGTCCTCCAGTAGAGAGGTTAGGGTTTAGGGTACCAACTTTTTTTCTGTAGTCTATTTTAGTCTCCCAACCAAAAAAAGGGGTGAGAAGGGCACTACTGGGGGACCTAGACAATGCCTGGTGCAACTTTCAAGGAATCGCGCGTCCTGGTACCTTGGACGTAGCTCAGTCAAGCCACCGTTTGCCGGCCATCTGCTGCTCAAAGACCTGAATGTTGTAGTACCTGGGGGTCAGGCGAGGGCAAAGGATGTAAGAAAAAGGCATCTCTGCTCGAAACGTCTCACTTCCTCCCACGGGTCACAGAAACACCTCCCCTCATCGCAACCCAAGATGCTTCTTTGACGGCATGGTGGCCGTGTTGTAGTCCTCCACATACTCCTTCCAAGAAGGCGTGTGCCCCATATACATTTTAGCCAACCGCGGTGCTGATCACTTTCTAGTTGCACTGGCATAGGATACTGGGTCCAGCAGCTGAAATCGCAGACTATCCCAACACTGCGGACCATGTGGAGTGGTGCCATCCAAATCCTACAGGACGTGAATCATGAGGGGCCTGAAGATGGAGGTGTGCATAGTGTGTTTTTAGCATCAGGGTGACTATCACAGCCATGAGCAAGTCCAGCACTTGTCCCACCTGGCCTTGAACAAATCCTTCTGCTGCATCCTTACGTGCCACTCTCCCAGACAGCCAAGCCACTTGATCAACGGCATCGACCCACAATGCAGCAGTGACTTCTCACAGGGCTCGACTCTTGGCGCCCATTTTACTTCCGGACTCCCAAAGCAACAAACGGAACAGCGATCTAGTGGGAGGCACGCAGGCGCAGATTTCGTGCCCCCAATCAACGGATGACAAACTCGGTCCTCCAGCGGAGAGGTCAGAATAAGGGCACCCTTTTTTTCTGTCGTCTATTTTGGTAGGGGAACCCTCCCCCAAAAACGGGTGAGAAAGAACCAACGGCGAAGCGGCTGTCCCAGGATGTCCGTGTTGGTCTTTCGGACCTCCGCAGCCCAAAGCAAAAACTCCGGCTTCTTAGAGAAGAAGTCCTCTTGCTTGATGATGCCTGAGAAACAAAATAGAAAAAAGGGGTGTTCAAAATGGAGGGAAGGCCAATCCTAATCCATCATCCCTACAAGAAAGCCACTACAAAGGCGACCACTTGCGTAACCCCAGGTAAGGATTAAGGATTACCTTTGAACAGCCCAGAAAAAAAAGGAGCCGGGAAATCCTGGCTCCCGAGGATGCCAAAAGCTTCCTGTGAAAAGCCATGCTTGAAAACCTTGCTTGTCAATCTTGCCCAAGGTGCCGTACTTGCCAAACTGGTTGGACACGGATCCGCGCATGGCTTCAAGGTCATCGCCCTTCTTCTTCGTCTTCTTCTTGTCCTCGCTCAGGGGATGCCATGCTATGAGTGTGCGACGGGATTCGTAGAATGGCCATCTCATAGTTCATGGCGAACACTCATCATGAACTGCCCGAATGCTGCTCGCTCCCGCTAAGCCAGCAAGCTGCAAGAGGTGTCGCAAGCTGCTAGAACAGCACAGTGGTCTGATTGAACTTCTGTGGCCAGAAAGGGATGAAAGAGGTACCTCACAGGGGCGCTGACATGTCAGAGTTCCTTTTTGTGAACTGCGCCCTTGCCAGCTGCTCAACCACTGCAGCACACCGCTTTGCCCGTTTAGTTTGGCCCATGATCCATTTCAAGAAATTGACGCCACACAATGCATCGCTGTTTCCCCAACGAGCGGCTTCCTTGGAACACATTCCCCAGCGTCACATGGAACCAAAGAAAACCATCATTTGTAGACTAGGTCCTCCAGTAAAGAGGTCAGAATAAGGGTACCAACTTGTTTTTTTGCTGTAGTCTATTTTAGTAGGGGAACCGTCCCCCAAACAAGTTGGTAAAAAGGCACCACTGGGGGGACCTAGAGGAATCTCATTTTGACGAACCCACCTTTTTTGCTCAAACGGGGGCTGCCATGAGCATCCCGAGCTTATATCTGAGCTCTAGGCCTTCTTCTTGCCTTTCTTCTCCTTCTTGTCGGCTTTCTTCTTGCCTGGTTGGCTAGGGGCCTGGGAGGAAAAACAAAACCCGTTCCCTGTTGGCTTGCTCCTAGGCAAACTTGTAACAATGGCGAACGAGTTTGAGGCCAGTTGCCTTTCTTGTCCTTCTTATCCTTCTTGTCTTTCTTATCCTTCTTCTTCCTGAGGCCCCGCTAAGCATCTGCGAGGCACCCAGCTCTGTCACCAAAACGAAACGCCAGCAGTAGACAGGCATCCATGCGATCACACACTCAGGCGTGTGGTCCAAGCTCGGCTACTTCGGATACCTAGATTGAGCTGCGCAACATGAGCTGTCGTGCAGCTTGTAATGCTTGGCCCTCTGAGCAAGTTGACCTGGTAGCCCTACTTCCGTACACATGCGACTGCACCACATGCCAGCTAGCCCCATGGTGTTGCCAGAACTGGGCGGATCTAAGTTTTTTTTTTTTTATTACACCCTGGGAATACACCCACTGGGTATTGACCCCAGTTAGGCACATTTCCGGATAAAACCGTGCTATTTTGAAGCATCCTGGGTGAATTTCCCAAGGGTGTGACCCCATGGAATACAAACACCCGAGCAAAGGGGTGGATTCTCTGCAGCTTCCAGCGAGGGGCTTCTTCTTCTCCTTCTTCGCCTTCTTCTTTTTCTTCTCACCTCAGCCCCGCTGCCAACTGAGTAATCCAAACGTGGCAAAGCCCACCCCAGGAAAAGAATCAGAAGCCAGATCTCCGCAATCGATTTTGCTTGGAGCTGCCTTTTGGTTATGCCCTCTGAGGCACCAGTCTGGCCATGGTTCATTGGTGGGTGGGTAGCTTGCAGACATACAGATTTCAGGATTCCACTTCATGTGATGGTTAAGCTCTAACACTCCTTGTCCAAGCAGCACAAAGACAAAGCCAACCATACCTCAAAAGCCCAGTTTTCGGTTTTTGGACACGAGGGTACCTATCCACACTACCGGCACCTTGACTTACTTGGGCTTGGAACAAGTGCGACAAAGCTGCAGGTGGATTGGTGGCGCCGTTTTGGCTTCAGACCACTTCTCCACCCTTCAGTGCACCTTTGGGAACGCACGAAGGGGCTCTGCACATTGGGCTGCTTCCCCATGACTATCAGCCCCCTTGAGAAGCCTGGGGCCCGGCTGGAGGAAGAGGACGAGGAGTCCTCGTTTCGAAATACGGAGCTGTTGGGATTTCCACTTAACAAAAAGTTAGTAAGTCACTTTTAGCGGGGGATTTGAGGGCCCAGTTTGACCGCTCCATTGTCCCTGAAACTATTTGGAGGTTCGCGTTGGGCTACAAAGGCTCCTCGAAAACAAGGGGGGGCATGTCCGGAGTGGACACCCAAACCAGTGACCCGAAAGGCACAATCAAGATTTCTTCCCTCGCGGCTGACTCATATGGGACAAAAAAGAGTCCAAACTTTCTGTTTACCTCTAAAATGGTCCGAACCCAAAAAGTATAAAGTCCAGGAACTCAGGAACTGGGGTGCTTGTGTTAATCAAAATGCCTGGCATGCGTCAAGTCCGAACAGCAAGGGGGCCGAGCGGAAAGGGAACATTGCCCCGGTCCTTGCATGACACCCCCCTGAAGGGGGACCCCCCAAACACACACCCCCTTGGAAAAGACTCAAACAGGCCAAGTTTGGAGGTGTTTGGGGGGTGGTGTGCTTGGGGGGTCCTAGGAAGAAAAAACTGATTGAATCCTTGTCATAAGGGTCAAAACATGGGGTTCATACTCGACGAAAATCGCTTCCAGTTGGCATGAATGAACCATGTAAACAATTGGAAACCGATCGAAGTGCACGAGTCCATCCGCAGCAGGCTGTCTCTCAAAAACAGCCTGTGCACAGGAAGTCAGGCAAAACTCTGGATAGTCGTAGGTGTTTGGTTGATTTCCTGTAGCATTGCATGGGCTGTTTTCTTTGATTGTCATGCGGCAATTAATTGGGGTTCATATGCCTGCTCTCTTCAGTGGGCCCAAGCTTTGTTCAAAACCCCCTCCTTCGCTGAATGTGCTTAGGGGGAAGGCACTGCAGTGGGAGGACATGTCCAACTCGGTGTCAATTGACGTTCGAGAGATGGCACAGGTTGAGAACCAAACTGCGACCAAAGGAATCCACCAAAGAAAGTCAAGCCTGAGAACACCTATGGTGAACAGCTCCAAGGTGGTGGTTTCCTTTTCTGGTGGACAAGGTCATATTTTCGTTTGGCTGGGATGCGGGTGTCCAAAAGGGCCCCCTGTTCTTGATGACCCCACCTGCCAAAAGGACCAAATACGGAAATCAAAGCACCCACTAAAACGTTGACACTAGTTTGGGATCAAGAAAACGCGCCTAGGTAAGCTACTGAAGGATGAAAATGGCAAACATCCCCAAGTCGCTCCTCAAGAAGTCCCTCTGTGCGAGTACTGTTCTGGATTTGGCAAGGTGGCGCGTGCCAAATACGTCAACACAACTATGCCCTCGCTCCTCTTCCTTCTTCTCCTCCTTGCACGGTTTGCAATGTAGATTGGACGTCTGTCTGCGTAGGGATTGCTCCAAGGTGGGACATGACTTGCCCCATGAAGACTTGAGGAATTCTCTAAAGCAGCTTCAAGTAGTTTCAGAGAGCAACGCGATTTGAACTGAGTGTTACGAATATCAGCTTGATTGAAACAAAGCTGGTACACATGATGTCGTTCCAGCAGCTTCCACACGTATTCCGCACTGCCTTTAAACAAAAACAAGCATGTGGCTGACGGGTTCTGACCGAACAACAGCATGCACCTAAAGTGACACTTGCAGCCTGCCGAGAAACAGCACCCCACCCACATCAAAGTACCAACTAACCTCGCAACCGTGAAAATATTGAACATGGCCAATTCCTAGTCTATTCCTCACTTTTTCGGCTCACTTCCTGAGCGGGTCGCCCAAACAGAGGTCCAAACCCCCAAACCCAATCATATGGCTGTGGTTCAAAAGCCAAATCGTACCCCCAGTGCACATCCGATTCAATCCAACCACTAAAAGAGGTTCTAAAATGAGTGGTGAATTCACCCACCAACCAAAATGGTACCATTGGTCCCCAAACCCAATCATATGGGTGTGGCTCAAAATAAAACCATCGGAGGGGCAAACCGCAGGTTTTGGAGTCCATGTGTTTCCACTTGCCAGGGCAATCAAGTCCAGGAGCTCAGGGCATGAGTCACCTAACCAAAGTCCCAGCCAGCTGGCAGCTCTCAGGCGCCTCCTCTGAAGAACTGTCCGATGAGGAAGATGTCATGGCGACATGGCCAGTCTTGCAACAACAGCTTGCCGTGTTTTTGCTTGTGTGTTTTTTCTCTCCGTTGTTTGTCGTATTCATTCTCTTTGGTCTCGTTGAGTTCGAACAAGTTGGTCTCGTTGGTCCAGCTGCGCGCAGCCTGGGCGCGCTCACCGCGCTTGGGTTTCCTGGGGCTCGCGAGCCATGTGGAGCCGGGGCTGGGCTTCTCGTGTGCGCTGTGAGCCTTGGCGTCTCTCGTGCCGTAGATGAGGCTCCCAGCGCCCAAAGGGGCTCTATCCTGAAAGGAAGGCACGCCAAAAAAACAAGGCGACGGCACCGGGAAACGGCGCCTATGCCTATATTATGCCAGGTGCGCCAGGTGTGCCAACCACCAGAACTTGCCCGATCTTGCGCCGAACCTGGCCGCCCTACACCTCCTTTCCTTTTTTTCCGTGCCAAGCTGTCGGCCTGCGATTTTTGTCATGGGCGGTCTCCTCCTTTGGAGGTCGCTTGACGGTGAGACGATAATTTACACGTGCCCGTTGGCGTCCTACGTGGAGGTGCTGCCGTGCTGTCGGCACTCCATGTCATTCACTCATGGCCTCAAGTGATCCCGGCCAGCCAGAACAGCCCCTACAAAAAGTTGGCTGGACTTTCATTCGCGCATGGTCAACTCAGCTGCCCAAAGGACCCAGAAAGATGGCGTTGGCCAGGTCAAGCAATGGGGTCTGGAGGTGTGCGAGCCATCCGTCGACCGAGAAAAAACGGCATGTTGGACACAAGGAATCCCGGATTCCTGCTAGCAATGTTGACCCCACAGCAAGCAACCCCAGTTTATACTGGGTTTAGTGGGAATCAGACCACTTTTGGAGGGGCCCCCGCCCACTCAACTGGGGTTGAATCATGTGGGGTCGACATTAAATCCTTTCATAGGAAGGTGTCAACCTTGAGGGGGGTCAAACGAAAGATCCCTATAATTACTACTGTCATTACGAGTTCTTGTGGGGAACCTGCAGGCACCCCCGGCTACGGAAAGGAACGCAAAGTCAACTTTCCAAACAAAACGGAGGAAGTTACAAATCAAATTACACACATCAAAAGCTAGGGAAATGAGCATGAACAAAAAAAGGCAAACTCAAAGGTCCCTAATCAAGTCCTGCGGGGGCCTGGCAAGAGGACAAGAGCAAGCATAATAAAACAGCAAGAAGCTTCAGCAGGACAGAGCTTGGTTGCACCAAAAGCATCCACTACCTCTGAACCTTTCCAATAAGCAACCAGGAAGCAGCAAACAAAGAGCTACACCCGAAGAAAAGAGCTGAACAAACGGAGGCCAACGAAAGGTCCCCACTCAAGTCCTGCGGTGATCTTTGAGGGAACGAAAGCAAGAGGGGACAACCAAAAAAAACGGCCAGAAGCAACCCAACTGGTCTCACTGGTTCGCCCTGGGATTTGTGCAGCTAGAAGTTTGCACAGAATGCATGGAAAGGCCCTGTGTTGCGAACAACTTCCATTTGCTTCAGACCTCTTGGAAAAAAAAAACATATTTCTAGTAGCGACATATTCCCTGTAAAACCAAAAAGGGAAAATAATAATAATAATAATAAAACAACATTTCAGCAAATGGAAGACAAAAGGAGAAGCCGCAGCAGTGGCCAAAGCTCGGAGTGCCGCGAACTCGCTCCAGAGCTCCGGGCCCATCCAGCAGCTTCAGGATCTCCTCTGGGTCCTGGGCCTGCGATGCCTGGAGGCTTTCTGCGGGGGCTTTTTGGGGGAAAAGGTTGGGCCCCCTTCAGGGGGGGAGGTTGGGGGCCTTTGGGGGGCGTGGTCCGGAAGCCTCCCTGGGGGCGCTTCGTGGGGGCGCTTCATGGGAGGGGGGGGGGGGCGTTAGGCAATTTCTGCCACCTTTCCGCTGGCAGCTTCTGCTCTCAGGTGTTGCCATCTCCTTCTTCGGGTATTCTTGGGTAAAGGACGGCATGCGCAAGTGTTCAAGGCACAGAGGGTTCCTTTGAACCCCTAGCAATACACCTTCAGCTTTTGGCACCAAATCTCCGCCTTCAGAGGGCGATGGGTTGAATTGCCCCCCATTTCCTTTCATTTCCTGCAGTCCAACGACACAGGGCAAACTGAATCGCCGATTTCTGGTGTGGGGCCCGCCCCAACAAACATGCTCTTTTGGAGTTACCTCCAGAAGAAAAAAAAAGAGGGGAAAAAAAACGGGGTGCCCTTTGGTTTACCGCACTCTGACTCTGGTCATGCTTAGCGGACTGATGTGAACTCGATCCAATGTGAGAGCGATCTGGATATTGAAGGGCCTGCTGGGTTGGAACCATTGCATCTCTACTCTTGGTATGGTAGCAAAAAGCTTTGTTTTTTGCAGACCCCCAGTAAAAATGAACAGAACCAAAAAACTAAAAAACCAAAAAACATGCCAGTGAAGATTGCATACATAATTATCTAGTTGGGTTTGGGCTTGAAAACATCGCTTGCCCAGTTGCCGTGGAAAAGGACCAGCTGCCAGTTGATTTCTCCAAGGCAGCAACGGGGGCAACATGCGGCAACGGGGAACGACGGTGCCCTGATTCTGCTGGACAATTGGCTTGAACAATTGGCTTTTTAGTAGGCAGGCCAGTATCAAAGTCATCAGGCAACTAACCACAGCCACCCCACGCGGACCAATGGTCACAATCGCAACCCGCCCTGCGGCCATGCAAAGGCACTCTCTGTTTGGCCGTCATTTTCCAAGGCACTCCTACCACAAAAGCACAAATCCAAAGGGGAGCAAACCTATCGGTCTGGGGTTTGCGCCAAAACCCGACGTTCCCTCGCCTCCAGGATCCGCTGGACTTCTTGCTGCGCGTCCTACAGTGCCCAGAGGCCCCGGGAGGCCAGAGGCCGATAGAAAGCGGGAGTCTGGAAGTCCAGCTGGGTGAATTGCATGGGAGCCAGTGAGGCAAAACCCATTGGTTGGCCAAAAGTTAAAGTCCTGACATCCAAGCAAAATGCACCAAAGTTGGGGGTGAAGTACATTGCGTGCACTGAAGCTAGTCAAAATCATAGGAGCGAACGAGTGAACTAGACGCTGTTTCAGTGAACTAGGCCCTTACATAATTCCTTCTCGGCGAATTATGATGTTTCGCCAACCTGAAACTTGCGGTGGTTGGGGGGTGCTATTCCCCACAAACACACACCACAATTTGGGTGAGGTCGTGTGAGGTTGATTGAATTCACCCAGATTGCATCGTTTCTATGGGCCAACTGGCAAAACATAGGTCAGCTCGAACGCCTGGGTGGGTAAGAGAGTAGCAAGCCCAAACCCACAGTTCAGATTTGGAATCATGGCCTTGGCAGTTGTAGCAGTTTTGCCCAACCACCAACAAACAAATTCAAGCGCACCACTATGTTATGTTGCAGCCCCCCCTTAAAATCAACTCAAGAGCTCTCAAAGCAAGCTTCTGCATGTCACGGGTCTCGAACCACCCCTAGCCTGATCGTTGTTTTTTTGGGGTTGGCCGCTTCCAGTTTCAGGCATCCAGATTTGAATTCGGACAGCGTCCAACCGCAGATTCCGGCGGACGGGACCTGTCCTGCAGGAAGCCCTGGACTTGCGATGCGTCCACCTGCCGTGGCAACTTGAGGCGTCCATCGAAGGCTACCCAACGAAGACCTGAAAGGCTTCCTGGGATGCAATGTTGGCTCCGGATACATTCAGCTGGCGCATTCCTCCCCCCAAAAAAAGGAAGAAGAACAAAAGACAAACAGGTGAAGGTTTCCCTACAAATGCCCTCCAACATGCACCCTGTTCATCAACCAGCTGGTTTCTCCATGCGGTTCGCAGCCTGGCAGGCCGCTTGGGCCCCAGGCCTTGAACGCCAGCCCTGGGCTGCTCAGCTTCATAAGGCTGTCCACCTGGCATGGCATCATTCTGCCGACTTCGGTGCAATCCGAGCGGATATCTTGAGGCGGCACCTAGTCTAGGTCCTCCAGCAAACAGCTTAGAAGAAGGGTACCAACTTTTGGCTGTAGTCTATTTTAGGGGGAGCCTCTCCCAAAAGGGGTGAAAGGGCACTGGGGGACCTAGTTTCGTGGCCATTGGGGAAGAAACCACAAATCACCTAGACCGAGCCAGGGATGTCCTGCACTGCACTCCTTCTGGGAAGGCGGCCGCCCGTCTTTTCGCGCTGCCAAGTGAGGCAATGCTGGGCGCCTCTCTCCGCGGGTCACGTCGCGCGCTTTGGCGCCGAGTGCCGGAGCTGGAGCTTCCCGAAAGGGGTCAACGAGCTCCCAAAGAGAAGGGAGTCTCAACTACCTGAGGCCCCAAAGTTGCTGGTTTTGTTCGTGCAAAATTAAAAGTGTCGCTGTTGTTTTTCAAAAAGTGGTGCAACATATCACAACCTTCCAGGTTGTTGCAACCTGCCGGGGCTGGTGGCAAAAAAATCTGCCGCTGGAAGCCGAGGCTCACGAGTTTCGGAAAGAGTCCCGCTTCAGGTCCGGTAGCGCTCCTCCTGTGGCGAACTAAGCCCTGGTCTTCAAGTTGAGAAAAAAAACCACCAAATCTGGTAACCAAAAGCCTCTCTTGAAAGCAAACTGCAAAGTACTTCGAACCAACCCTTGAAAGCAAAACTTCCCCTTCCACTGGGTTTTGGCGGGTTGTCCCAAACTCGCCACTGGGAAACTCAGCCGGTCAGTTCTTCGCCAACTCTTGCCGGGTGCGATAGGCAGGGAATGAGAAATGGAATGACCCAAGAAAACCATCCAACTGGCGGTTTTTTTTAATTCGGGAATCCCCTTTACCGGTTCATTCCATTTCGCATGCCCTATCGCACCAAGTGAGCCCATCGCTGGCTCCCCAGCTGTTTGCTTTTCAAAGAAGAACTCTGAAAAGGATTTAGAAGATTGGGGAAACACCATGGAGCACATTCCCACACTCCCTACTCCTGATCCGTAAGTTGATGAACTCAAATGCCCAGCCACCAAGCAAAAAACGCATCCTTTTCCGGTCGGTTGACTTGAAAGGCCTTCGGCCAGTGAAAGTTCGCTGGAAAAAGGGGCACCACTGGGCAACTGGGCGAATTAATTAGGAAACAACCATGGAGCACATTCCCACCTCACCCTCCCTACCGCACCGGAATCGGCCAGTGAAAGTTCGCTGGACCGATTTGGCAGTGGCTCAAAATTAAACATCTAGGGTTACGCAGGTGTTGGTCCATGTTTCCACTTGCCAGGGCAACCCATTTTGGAATTCCGGTTTTTTGAGCCATACCTATTTCGCAAAAAAAAAGGAAAACAACCATGGAGCACATGTCCTACCTCACCCTCCCATAGCGCACCGGAATCGATTTCTCTCCTCGCGGTAGTAGGCGCTGAATCCCACCACCTCCTTCAGCGCCCCAAAGTCCAGCTCCAGCTGGGGCTCCGCCGAGCCCGTCCGCTTTAAGCCCTGCAGGGCGGCCTGCTGCGCCTGGCGCACCAACAGAAAAGTCCGTGGGAAAAATCAGACCACCTTTGGAGGGGCCAAAACCACCCCCCCTATGCATAAACTGAAGTTGATTAGTATGGGGTCAACATTAAGTGTACCGAGTGACCTATTAATCTGCTTGATTCCATTCTTTTCGACCATCCTTCTTTTCAAAATCCGATCGCTGTTTCTGCTGTGGTTCGGATGGTTTTCTGAAAAGAAGGATCCCTGGAAAGAATGGGGAAGCGTCCCCTGGACAAGTGGCATTCTCACTTCCAACGAGTGGATTGGCCGAAAAACATATGCCTGTGGGTCAAAACCCTGTACCTCTCTGGTGAACATCACAATAGGTGGTACATGGGTGTTCATCCGCCCCAAAGTGGAGGCATAGGTTATGACCCATGTCAATATGTGGTTTGTTCATTTACCACCAACATGGTCTTCCCAAGCTGGGAAGTCCGGGAACTTGGGAAGTGAGTTGGCTTCCTCAGGGGTCCGGTCGAAGGATACAGGCCAAACACCCCTGGCACAAAAGCAAATCCGTGAAAATTATGTTTTCCCTGGCCCAGTGGTGTCCTTCGATGCTCCTCTTGGATGACAGGCAGGTGCTTAAGGTGTTGCGGAAAAAGAAAAACATGCCGCTGGAGCCGGCAAATACGGAAGACAAATCTGATTCCCCGGCCCCTGAATGGCGCTTTCAAGCGAATCCACCCACTAATTGTAAGCCGCCCACAAAATGCCAATTTCAGGGGACAGTTTTAACACGGCAACCATCCCAGCCCTAACCGGAGCTGATGGATGTGTTCATAGATATTGTTTTCTTTTTACCCAAGGGAGAGCAGTGGACATGACATGGAACCCGTTCCTACCACATTTCATGTGTCAGGGTGCAAGGAATCCGAACCAACGAGCCCATCCTTTGCCCCGCTGGCAGCTTCTCGAGCTCAGCACGGTCAACTGAGAACCCCCCTTTTGGACGATACCGGGCAACCAAATTCTTCCGAAGAGAAACTGCAAGACAGGGAAACCGCGAAAATCTGGGTGGGCCTTCTTCTGGGCAAGAGATCTCACCGTTTGTAGTACGGTAAACCCCTTTAAAAAAAAAAAAGAGGCTCTCTCCTTCAGCCGATTCGGTCACACCCGATAGACCAGCCGTGTAAAGTAGCTATGGTTCTCAGGGAAGGGAACCCCCACCAACCATCCTCACTAGTTTCTTTCGGTTTGCCCCTTTACACCAGTCCCAAAAAGATGAACCTCTCAAACTCCAGTGGTCTCCCTGAATTTTCTTTCGGGGTCCGATTGTCGAGGACCAATGCACCACCACTGCCTGGCATCAAAACCCAGTTGGGCCCCATGCCCACTTGCCTTGATCCCTGCGGAGAGCAGGGTCAAGGGATAAGCTGCGATGGCAAAGCCCAGCTCCTCCAGACGTTCGTGGCTCAGCATCGGGGTCTTGCCGCTGGGGAGCATGTTCACCATCTTGTGCCCGGGCACCTGGAACCCGCTATCTGTCTGTCTCTTTCTGTCTGCTTCTGTCACTTTCACTCCTTCTTTTTATTCATGTTCCGATTTTTTGTTTGGTGTGTTGGGGGGATGGGTTCCCCCTGCAGGAAGACAACCATTTCATTGTTGAGGGCCCCTTTGCAAGGTTGGCCCTCCAGGCAAACCACAAGGACACCCCGCATCCTTGGGACCGCCCCCCCAAGTTGATGCCCTAAAACCCGAGGTATTCCAGTGTCCCTGCCTCCCTGCAGTATCTCGCCATTTCCTCCTGCGGGTGAAGGGATCTTCAACAGATCTAAAACATGATGAGAGTCGACAAAATCCGCCCTGCTACCTTCAGGTTTTTGCATATGTTCCAAGCTCTGACAAGCTTATTCCGCCCTGGCGTGGCACAAGCCACCCACCTCCCCACTTGGACCTGATTCATCCCGAATTTCATCAAACAGGTGAACATCACGTGAATCTAGGGGTACCTTCCCCATTCTTTCCTGGCATCCTTCTTTCTAAACAACCACCCACAACCTTGGGGAAACAGCTGGTTATTGAAAAGAACGATGGTTGAAAAGAATGGGGAACCAACCCCTAGAGCGAAGGCATTTCGAGTCTTGATGCATTTGCGGGGCGGGGGGGGGGGGGGGCAACAACCCTTCGCCGATCATTGCCCAAATCGATACAGCACACAACAACGGCAGACAGTTGAAAAACAAATATTTGACAAACTGTATAAAATAAATATTCGGCATGACTACATGTACATACACACACATACATACATACATACATACATACATACATACATACATACATACATACATACATACATACATACATACATACATACATACATACATACATACATACATACATACATACATATATACATATATATATATATATATATATTGAATACATGTGTGTATGCGTGTGTATCTGTGTATGCGTGTTTGCTTGCTTGTTTGTTTGATTGATTGTTTGTTTGTTTGACTGATTGTTTGTGTTATTGTTTGTTTGTTTGATTGATTGTTTGTTTGACTGATTGTTTGTTTGTGTCTTTGTTTGTTTGTTTCGTTCTTTCGTTCTTTCTTTCTTTATTTCTTTGTTTGTTTCTTTGCTTGTTGTCTGTCTGTCTGTCTGTCTGTATGTGCTGAGTCAATCCATTTCTCTGTCAATGCTTGACATTTCCAAAAACAAATCGAGCACCTCGTCAACGTCGCCTCTGCTCAGTGACCCTGGATGACTCTGGTAAAGAAGAATTGTCTTGGACGCCACCAGGCGCATGGGTAGAGACTGAACTGAACAATGGGATGCTGGTTTTCTATGCTTCCACCGTGGCCCCATCGGCCGTGCATCTATTCATAAGGGGTCGCCCCTCTGCAGTGCAGCGCGGCCCCAAAGGGAAGCCAAAAAATTGGCGATGCCCATGTAGTTTCTCTTTCGACAAAGTCTAACCAAGAGTACCCTACTCAAAAGGACCTACCCATGCATAAAGATACACAGCCAAGTATCCATCTACATCAAACACGAATAGATGTATAGATAGATAGATCGATGTATAGATAGATAGATAGATAGATAGATGGATAGATGGATAGATGGATAGATGGATAGATGGATAGATGGATAGATGGATAGATGGATAGATGGATAGATGGATAGATGGATAGATGGATAGATGGATAGATGGATAGATGGATAGATGGATAGATGGATAGATGGATAGATGGATAGATGGATAGATGGATAGATGGATAGATGGATAGATGGATAGATGGATAGATGGATAGATGGATAGATGGATAGATGGATAGATGGATAGATGGATAGATAGATAGATAGATAGATAGATAGATAGATAGATAGATTAAGACAGATACACCGACAGAAATATACACAAATAGATACATAAACAAATCAACAAACAAACGGACAGACTGACAGACAGATATGTGCAAGACCAGTGTCTACATACTTCACTCTATCCTTGCACCCATGGCCACCGACCAAAAGTCCACCCAAAGTCCACCCGGCCACTGGCCCGGCCCGTCCTCGCTGCGGGGGGCTTCCAGGAAGGTGATGTCCGCCCCGAGCTCCTCTCGGTTGCTTTCTACTCCCCTGCTAAAAGTGAACAACTTTTAGTGGTTTAATACGGAAAACCAAGCAAAGCTAAAGTTTAGTGGATGTAAGTCCCTAACATCCTATGGAAAACCCAAAGCAAAAGTTGATTACTTAACAAAAAGTTTTAAAGTCCTAACATCCCCAAAGTTGAGTTGGTTACTTTTTTTGCAAACTGTTAAGCAAAATGTGAAGCAACATGTTAAGCAACTTTTTAGATCCCGAGGCAAAATGTTAGGCCCTTGGCAACATGCAGCGCTCCAGCGCCCCGCCCGCGCGATGCCCCCGAGCGCCTGGAAGGCGCGGCACCGCTCTAGCGCCTCCTCCAGGCCCAGCGTGGCGCGGGCGTCCGTGCGCGCCATGATGCCTCAGGCGCGGGGGGCTTCACGGGGCCGGGCCGGGGGGGGGGGGGGATGTGGGGGGAATGATGAATGGGGGGACAATGGAGAAAGACTGGAACAACCAGAACGAAAACAACACAGGGGTCCTTACATCATACAATGAACATTGCAACTTGCAAATGGTGGTTTCCATTTCTTTATTTTGGTGGAGAAAGCCATGTTTCAAATGGGCAAAATGTATCTTTTAAGGAGCCCTGCAAAAAGACGTGGGCTTGACTTGAAAAACCGGGGGGCAGGGGGGGCGCTAAACAAAAAACAGGGGTCACCCAACCAGCTCTTCAGTCATCATGGAGAGTGGCTGTACAAAAGAAATGGACACAGGGGTCACTGGATTTACCTTCAAAGGTTGATCAATCTACTGGTGTTGTTTCGCGAAACTGCCACTTTTGGAGGATCCACAAAGGGAATGGAGGAAAGGTGAAAACCCCAATGTTGCGTTGGGCGAGGTCCAATAAGTTGCATGTGTGAGCGAAACAGAAACGGATTGCTGAGCTTGCTCCTACCTGTCAATGCCGCGCACATCCCTGCGAAACCTGGAAAGACTTTGTTTCGGGAGGTATTTCGCCGTCTCACTTTTGGATGTCGACCGCGACCCACAGCGGCTCGCTTCCTTGTTGCCATGATTTTGTCATGGCAAGGCTTTCTCCTTGCCTCGAATCATGTGGGCGAGGCTTGCCAGCCAAACACAAGGCCAACCCAACCCAAAGCCCCAAAGCCTAAAGACCCAAAGGGCGTATCAAAGTGAGCTACTTTGGGTTTCCCTTCACCACCAACCCCAGAACTGGGTATATACTAAAATGGGTTTGTTGGGGTACTCTGAAGCCAGATTTTGGCATGCTTCTGGGGAAGGCGGCAGGGGGAATCAGGTGAGGCGTAAGTCTGGGTGGCATCTGAGAAGGCTTGTGACCTAACTGATCTTGAACAGTCCCTGCGTTGGATTACATCATCTCTACGCTAACTTTGTACCCCAGTAACTTCTTAGAGATGCTCCTGTTGCCCACTCCCTATGGCTTGAAAGAGCTTGAGCCAGTGACGGGAAGAAAGGGGAACCACCTGTTTTGCGCTTGATCCATTTTGGGATGCAGGGTTGCAATTTCGAATTTTGCCCAAGGCCGACCTAAACCCAGGGGTTGATGTCCTCGAAGCCCCGTTTAAGTCTAGCTTGGCATCAACAACTTCTGTGGACCCCGAACCTAACATCGCAATCCACTGGGGGGTTCTCCTTGTGTCAGGGGCCCTTTTGGGATTTAACGTGGCACTCTGACCGAACATCATCCTTTCAGATTCTGCCTCTTAGGGGGTGTCCATCTTAGGGGACCTTAACCATGGGTAGTTTTCAGATTGGTTTCACCAAAACGGGTTTTCCCCCATTCACTGTTGGTTCTCTTCCTGTAACTCCCGTGATGCCAGGTGATAGAACCATAAGAATGGCCTTTCTGGAATCGGTGCGGTGGAATTGCTTCGGACACAACCCCTTCAACCTCACCTGTGGTCACCGTGCTGATTTTATTCCCTTCCCTTCCAAAAGCTTTAAATCAACCAGACAAACCCAAGCTTTAAAATTAACCTACCAATATAGCTTCGTATAGACCTCCCCTTGGAACTCATAACTCAACATCCCCGGAAAAACCAAACCCGCAAAAAGAGACAACAAGAAACAAAACCAAACAATCAAATCAACCAGATCGGCCTCCGACCCCCCCCCAAAACCAAAAAAACAACGGATCAACTCGGGTTCTGACCCCCCCCCCACCGGAAGAACCCCCACAGCTCGAGACCCCCACCTCAAGCCGCGGCGCAGATGTCTCTGGCTCCCTCGTCCCGTGCATCGCAGGCCGCCTTCACCCGCGCCAAGGCCTCCTGGCGTGGCACCACGGTGGTGCCCTGCCTGGGTTGACGTCCACCCCTCTGCAAAAAGTGGATTTGCGTTTGCCGGGCTTAATGGGAAAAACCCTTGCGCCAAAGGTTTCGAACGTTTTCCGGGTTCAATGGGAAACCCCAAAAGTCCGGCTTTTGCAGTCTTGGTGGGCTTTTTAACAAAGGCCCTCTCTCTCCCTCGAAAAAGAAAAAAAACCTTGATTTCAACTAAAAAGTTGAAAGATCCAACCCCATGGCAGGAAAGTTTCGTGTGGCCGCAGCGCTTCGGCGCCACCTTGGCGCGTCGATTCGCTGAAGGCGGCGAGATTCGCGATCGAGGCGATCACGGTGTGTGTGTGTGTGTGTTGTGTTGTGTTGTGTTGTGTTGTGTTGTGTTGTGTTGTGTTGTGTTGTGTTGTGTTGATGTTATGTTATGTTATGTTATGTTATGTTATGTTGTGTTGTGTTGTGTTGTGTTGTGTTGTGTTGTGTTGTGTTGTGTTGTGTTGTGTTGTGTTGTGTTGTGTTGTGTTGTGTTGTGTTGTGTTGTGTTGTGTTGTGTTGTGTTGTGTTGTGTTGTGTTGTGTGTGTTGTGTGTGTTGTGTTGTGTTGTGTTGTGTTGTGTTGTGTTGTGTTGTGTTGTGTTGTGCTGTGCTGTGCTGTGCTGTGCTGTGCTGTGCTGTGTTGTGTTGTGTTGTGTTGTGTTGTGTTGTGTTGTGTTGTGTTGTGTTGTGTTGTGTTGTGTTGTGTTGTGTTGTGTTGTGTTGTGTTGTGTTGTGTTGTGTTGTGTTGTGTTGTGTTGTTGTGTTGTGTTGTGTTGTGTTGTGTTGTGTTGTGTTGTGTTGTGTTGTGTTGTGTTGTGTTGTGTTGTGTTGTGTTGTGTTGTGTTGTGTTGTGTTGTGTTGTGTTGTGTTGTGTTGTGTTGTGTTGTGTTGTGTTGTGGTGTGTGTGTGTGTGTGTGTGTGTGTGTGTGTGTGTGTGTGTGTGTGTGTGTGTGTGTGTGTGTGTGTGTGCGTGTGCGTGTGCGTGTGCGTGTGCGTGTGCGTGTGCGTGTGCGTGTGTGTGTGTGTGTGTGCGTGTGTGTTTCTGTGTGTCTGTGTGTCTGTGTGTCTGCGTGTCTGGGTGTCTGTGTGTCTGCGTGTCTGCGTGTCTGCGTGTCTGCGTGTCTGCGTGTCTGGGTGTCTGTGTGTCTGTGTGTCTGTGTGTCTGTGTGTCTGCGTGTCTGCGTGTCTGTGTGTCTGTGTGTCTGTGTGTCTGTGTCTCTGTGTCTCTGTGTCTCTGTGTCGCTGTGTCGCTGTGTCTCTGTGTCTCTGTCTGTGTCTGTGTCTGTGTCTGTGTGTGTGTGTGTGTTTGTGTCTGTGTGTGTGTGTTTGTGTCTGTGTCTGTGTGTGCGTGTGTCTGCGTGTCTGCGTGTCTGCGTCTCTGCGTGTCTGCGTGCCTGCGTGTCTGCGTGTCTGCGTGTCTGCGTGTCTGCGTGTCTGCGTGTCTGCGTGTCTGTGTGTCTGTGTGTCTGTGTGTCTGTGAGTCTGTGAGTCTGTGTGTCTGTGTGTCTGGGTCTCTGTGTGTCTGCGTGTCTGCGTGTCTGCGTGTCTGCGTGTCTGCGTGTCTGTGTGTCTGTGTGTCTGTGTGTCTGTGTGTCTGTGTGTCTGTGTGTCTGTGTGTCTGTCTGTCTGTCTATTCATGTAATATTTAATATATATATATATATATGTATATTAAGCCGGTTACAGAAAGGGGAAGTGCAAAGGAAGAGGTGTGCTTGCCCTTGGATCAGTGGGATTACGATTCCAGCTTTCTCCAACTTTCAAACATAGGCTGAATTGACAGGGACCCAACACTCCCTGAGAAGGTCAACATGTTTCTTCGTGCAAGGACAGTGCAAGGAAGGAAACAACCACATACCGGCCCCAACTCGCATAACAATCATCTTGGACAATTCTGGTTGACTTCCATTTGGTTAAGACCCCGCCTGGAAAGAATTCCAGTAGTGATAGATTGCTTTCAAAACTAACAGGAGAAACAAATATTCTTAAGCAAATGGAAGTTGACGACGCAGATCCCGCACCATGTCTGCTCACAAGAAGCAAATATCGATTACAAGCCAGTGGTTCCCGGAACTTTATGCAGCTTCGGGTTGACACACAGGAAACATGACTAGGCTTCTTTCCCGAGCCACATCGGCAGCCAACGACCTTGTAGGTCCACGTTCAATGAAAAATCGAGAAAACAACACGGGGAGAGGAGCGGAGTTTTCCAAACAACCTGCTGAAAATCTGGGATCCGTAATCCGACGTGAGATGCCCAACCAGAGATGAATGTTATTTACTACTCGGTGGGTGTTCCTGGGTTTCGTGGGGATTCATGACTTTTGAAGGGGAACACCCCCATACTCACAAACTTCCATTTGCTTCAGCCCCATGGAAAAATGCAGTAGTGGTAGATTCCCTTTAAACCCAGCATGGCAAAAGGACAAATGTTCCTTTCAGCAAATGGATGGTAAACTGGCGTTTATTCATCTGGGGTCAACATTAAGGATTGAAGTTGACGAAAGGATTGAACAACCCAAAGAACTGGCCGTCTGTTGCCCTCGCCTGGTCCTCGATCATGATGCCTGCCATGCCAGCTTGCGCATAGCCCTTGACGGTGCGCTTCACGTTCACCGCGTTCCCGTAGCCCGTGTCCCCGTCACCAATGCAGCAAATGCGGTCCAGGGCCCCGCAGATTTGGAAAGCCGAGTCCAGCATCTCCTGCGCGTTCACAGCGGCACTGCCTTTGCCCATTGACTGTTGAAGGTATCCAGGCCCAATATGAAGCCAAATAAGAACTGCTCAGGAAGGGGTTTGGGCACTGCTCACTTGTTCGCACTCGTTCCCCTAACATAAGTATTTACTGTGAAAATCATACTCGTCTTTTAAACATTCCTCGGTTGCTTTCTGCCCCCCTGCTAAAAGTTTTTAACTTTTAGTGGCTTAATGGTAAACCCATTGGTTGGCAAAAAGTTTAAAGTCCTAACATCCCTTGGCAACATGCACCAAATGGATTTTTTGGCTTCGCCAGCGTGTACTGGGGGATTGTGGACTGGGCCCTCTCGGTACATTGAGACCGGAGAGCCCCCCTTGGAACCAAAGCGAAACCATTTGGAGAGTCTAACCGTGAACATCCCTCGGAACTAGGGCTGGCAACAAAACCCATGGGAAATCACGGAACAAAAAGGAACCAGGTGCAAAGGTGACTTCACTTGATGTGACTCTTCCCGGCAATTTGGGCATGATCTGATGCCCGGAATCCTGGCCTCCAAATCGCACATCAACATCTCACAATTGCAACTGGCCAGATACAAGCCCTGCGCGAATACAGAACCATCGGCCCGAGCTACGGGTTGGGGACAGAGACACTCTCCGGGATTCTGCTGGGTGTCCCCTGGCCTCAAGAATTGGTGGATTTCAACACGCAAGGTTCCAACTATGGGTCCAATTCGTTTTGAGAGTTTCTGGTGTTTCTTATGGCCAACATAATTTTCAGTCAAAGCACCTTTTCCTTTGAGGGGAAACTCCATTTGGAGAAACCAACGTCTCCCTTGAGGGTCAAAGGGCTAAGCCCGTGGCCTTTTGAAAAGCCTGGCTTCCCATCCGAAGTTCGGTGGGAGGTTTCCAGGCCAGTCCCCTCCGCGGTTTTTTGATTTTGAAGAGCCCAGTGGCACGTTTCCAGACCTCAAGGGTCGGGTTTGCCTTTGATTGTATAATGATGTATAATGGAACAAACCAAAAAGGAGCCCCCCAAGCGACACCCTTCCACCCAACATCTGGTACAAACTCACCCTGCAGGCCAGCAGCAAACCACATGTTTGCAACATTTGGCAATTCACCAACTTCATGCAGCAAGCAAAAAACAGCAGGAGAAAGGAACAACAACATGCAACAACAGCGACAGCGGCAGCAGCAGCAGCAGCAGCAGCAGCAACGGCAACGGCAACGGCAACGGCAACGGCAACGGCAACGGCAACGGCAACAACAGCAACAGCAGCAACAACAGCAACAACAGCAACAACAGCAACAACAAGCAACAACAGCAATGCTGCTTCATGCAGCCCTTATTCAGGAAGGGTTTGTGCATCACCGATATTCCCTCACCCAGGTTTTGATCGCAACTCTGCTGGCAGTAGAAAAACCCGCGCCCGCTCTTGGAAGTCGATCTTATTCTTCCGAAGGCCAAGCACTTGATTTGTTGAATCCACTAAACAGCTGTCACGCCCTAAGGGTCATGACCCCTCCAATGGAGAACCCCGACCCCTCAATGGCCCTTGAAAACAGCCAGTTTTGAGGGCCCAAAAAACAATCAAGACCCTTAGGGCAGCTGAAAAAAGCGGGGAGGGGTCAAACAATTTGGGGCCCCAAATCTCGGCACCGCTCACCGGATCCCCCATGTTCGCGGAGCTCGCCTGGTAGGAGACCAGCTGGCAATCCGCGAAACCGTTCCTCGACCCAGCAAGACTCCGGGAAGAGACAGTCGCACGGTTTTTGAGGTTTCCACGCGACGGCTGGAGCGGTCCCGGTGGTACCTGGGGGGATTTGAACCAACTTGGGTGGTGCGACCAGGTCTTATGCTGTCCGGGCAACTAACCATTACCCAATACCTCCGGGAAGAGGGCAACGCGCGGTCCAACAATGGACGACGAAGGACTTCTCCAAGGAAGACTCATGTCCCAGTTGGAGTGTTTAACTCCGTGTTTTAGTGGGAATCGTAAAGGACTTCTCCAGAAGGAAAGTAAGGTTGAGCCCACATGAACTTCAACCAACCAGTTTATTAGGGGGGGTGTCCATTTCTGGGTTTTGTGGGGAATCAGACTACTTTTCGGGTCAACATGAGTCTTCCGGAACCCTCCTGCTTCCGTGATCGTTGGAGGCATTAAAAGCAAAAACATCAACCTCAAGGCAGGAAGGAACGGTGAAAACCAAAACGACAAACACCTCGGGTAGGACAGCACAAACAAGGCAGACATGTAAAAATGGTGGCATTCGCCCACTCACCAAAGAAGGAAACCAACCATCCACCAACATGGAACCTAATCGTGGTCCTGGTTGGGGCCTGCCTTCCTCTCAAATGGACCGGAAGGACTGGTAGTTTCCATGATAGCCGGCGGGACGAAAACAGGTTGGCTACTACCACATACCAAACGCATTGGCAAGTACACAAAATGCTTTCCAAACACACTGGCAAAACGGACAACCTAAAAAAGAACCTCAGGTAGAAATCAAATAAAACAGCAAGACAACACTGGCAAAAGACAAAGCAAACATCAAATTAACAAAACACACAAAGGCACCCAAACAATATCAAGGCAACAACAAATCAACAAACAAGCAAACAAGCAAACAAACAAACAAACAAGCAAACAAACAAGCAAACAAACAAACAAACAAAGAAACAAACAACAGGAAGAACAACACGAACACAAACAAAGCAAGGATAAATGATAAACAAAAGAGCGAACATGTAACATCAACCAAAACGGCAAGGCAACATGTGAGTATTATACCCGTTCTCAGCAGGGAATGTGGGAATCTCACCCCAATTATAGTTTCCTAGGGGATCCATTGGCTCCTTCCTAAAGCCTCTGTTGATTGGTGGTTTGGATTGGTGGCTTGGATTGGTGGCTTGGGGGTTTGACCCCCAGGATCTTGTAGAAGGCAAATGGGAAACGACCCTTACCCACCAGACCACCAATCCAGACCGCCAATTAGCGGGATGCTGACACTACTGGCAACCAGGAAAAGCAAACAAACAACTCTGCCAAACCACCAATCCAAACCACCACCACCGAAAACCAGAACAAAAAAGCAAACCACCATCACTGAAAAACCAGAAGAACAAAAAGCAACCAACCAACCGACCGACCGACCAACCAGTCCCCTAAACAAAAAAGAAGGTTCCCCCCCACTGGGAAGCAGCAAAAACAACCGGAAAGCGGCTGAAACAAACAATCCCAACCACCATCACTGACAACCAGATATACAAAAATCCAAACCACCATTACTAAGCAACCAAAAAAAAAAAAAAACGGAAAACGGCTGAGTCTTGGCGGGGTTCTTGGCGCTGACGCCGAAGCCCGTCATGAAGGTGAGCTCGAAGCCTGCCTGCTCCACGAGCCGCGCGCTGAGCCCGTCGTAGCAGCAGGGCATCACCACCAAACGCCTTTCTTTTGTGAAGAAATCTCCGGGATATCTACTAGGTTTTTGAGTAGAGAGGTTAGAATGAGGGTGCCCTTTTTCTGTAGTCGATTTTAGGTAGGGGAACCCTCCCAACCAAAAAAGGGGTGAGAAAGGGCACTACTGAGGGACCTAGGAAATCGGGACATCGATTTAGGGAAGTGCACTCATATCCTTCCTCCCACTATGGCACCTGTGGGGAGTACCTGGAAGATGAATTTCCTCTTAAGGAACCCCCGGGCAGGTGCCATGTTAGTGGGAGGGCGTGTAAGGTTTCGGAATTTTGGGAAGTGAAGAAGTCTTCTCTTGAACTCTCTGTGACTTGAAAAGTGAACCATTGTCACTGGGGAGTAATGTTGACCCATTATTAATAAACCCATCCCATTATTCGGGGGGCGTTCCCTCCAAAAGTGATGAATCCCCCACAAAAAGGGGACACCCCCAATCAAAATCAACCAGGGGTTAACATTCTCAAGCGACCTAATCATAATCCCTTCTGCCTGGCATGACGCCGGTCGTTGAGATTTCTCAGCACGTTCCCACGGGCCCCGTTGCCCAAGCATCCCCCCCACCTTCAGGACCGCAAGGCATGGTTTCGAGTCTCCCGACAAAAGGAAAATACGGCACGAGATATCCGGGGCGAGAGGGTTCTGTATATATATATATATGTATGTATATATATATATATGTGTATATATATATATATTTGCCCTTGAAACAAGACCGTGTGAGGAACCTCATCCCTAAAATCAGCCCAACAAGGTGATGTTTTACCAGATCTTACCAATGCTTCACGGGGAAATCATCCCCCCTACCTCCATGAAAGGGAAAATGAGGGGTTTTTTTATGGAGATCTCCAGGGGTCACCCCCCTCCCCCAATTCCATTTTTAAGGGGGCGGGGATGGGAAACATAGGAGCTCGGTTGCTTTCTGCTCCCCGGCTAAAAGTTTAACTCCTCATGGTTTAGTGGAAAACCCACTAGTTGGCAAAAAGTTAAAGTCCTCACATCTGGCAAAATGCACCAAAGGGAAAGTTTGCAGAAAGCTCCCCAGCCGGCCGAAAGCTCCCGCCTCTCGGCCAGCAATGCTCGCAGCCGCGCCGCCGGGCTCTCGGGCCCCGTTTCCCGGGCAACGCCTTGCAGGAGAAATTCCTGGAAAGACCGGGCCTTTTTGTGCCCCTGTTGTGGTAAATCCACCCTTGGGTTGAAAAAGCCCAATCCGTGGACATACCATTTTGGAAAGGGTTTGGTGCGCTTTGATTTCGGTTTCGATGAAGGCAGCTCCGTGATGGGGCTGAGCCCGGCCTGTCCGATAGCTTTCGGTGGCCAGCCTGACCGGCGGCTTTTGCCGCCGTCGGCCCAGGACCCAGCCGAGGACACCCGCTGCCAGAAGCGGCAATGCCAGCGCCAAGCCATCGGAGAGCGAAGGCATGGCTTTGGTGCGGTGCTGTCACTTAGGACTGGGTAGCTCAAAGTCTGTGCTACCTCGCGCATGTAATTGCTGCCACAAAATTTGCTGCGTATCTTAGCGCATCCAAACGTCGCTGCCTTCTGTGCCAGAGCCACACACGGCAACATGTCTAATGGCTGCGAGTCCTTTCTGAGCGGCCGAGACCAGCTTGTGCCAATCGCACCGGAATGCTGCAAAGGTGACCAAACATTTCGAATGTCCAGCACATGTGCATGCTGGTGTGAAATCACTCCTCAAGAACCCCTTCCACAGTAGCCTGCAATTTGTTGGGCCCTTCCGGCTTTGGGAAGCAGTCAGGGCATCCAGGGGTCTTCCCTTTTGCGCACACATGTATATATATATATATATGTGTGTGTGTGTGTTGAGCTGGACCTTCCGCATTCCGGTCTCAGGACATGGCAACTTGACCTTCGGCTCCGGGATATCCGAACTCCAGCCTTCACGCTGCCAATGCCCAAGCCCAGAACTGTGGTGCCCAAAGCGTCCAAGACCTTCATGGCTTTCTGCGCTTCCTGCGGCCGAGCTGCAGCTCTCTTCTTCTTCGTTTGCGTGAAGGTCAGGCTTGGCTTCGTGGATGGGTTCTGCCATGCTGCCATGACCAAACTTTCTCCAATCCTGGAAAAAGGCTGCAATGGGCAGTTCCACAGGTCAACTCGCTCAAAAAAGCACTCGCAACACTGTACAGGTTCATGGGGAGCCCATTCTACCCCTTCCAACTGACCCCCCAAGCACCTGTTCCATCCATGTGCTTCTCGTTTTGCGGGCTCACTTCATGGCCAAAGAAGGTCGAAACATTCCGTTTACCACTTAAAAGGCCCAAACCCTTAAACCTCAAAATGCGGCTCTCGTCCAGGAACCGGAGCTCGGGGAATGAGACTCGACCCCTTCGACTCCTTGGAGCTCTCGGGCGCCACGGTGATGTGAAGGACCGCCTGCGGGCGATCCTGGCGCTTCGAACCCAGCGGATCCGGAGGGAACTTCCTCGGCGGATGTTTCCACTGGGCGGTGGTGGTCAACCCCAAAATGGCACCCTGGGAAATGGAAACAAGGACTACCTGTGGTCCAATTCCTGGATCTTTTTTTGGTGGTCCAATTCCTGGTGGTCCAATTCCTGATTGTTTTTTTTTTTTTTTTTTTTTTTTTTTATCTTGAGCCATGCCCAGTTGTACATGCCCTCCCACGGAAGTGCACAACGCCCCGTTTCCAAGAGGAATCTGCGCTTCGATGCTTAGTCAGTGGGAGGGTAGATATCCCTTCTTCCCCCCCCCCCCCCCCGAAAAAAAGGGTTCCCAGGCGCGAAGCTTCTTGATTCACACCAGCAAATCCTCACACGCGTTGGTTCCACCCCCGCAATGTTGACCACATATTAATTACTCAACCCCAGTTTATTAATAGGGGGTGGTTCTGGGTTTAGTCGGGAATCAGACCACTTTTGGAGGGAACACCCCCCCTATTTATCAACTGGGGTTGATCAATATGGGGTCAACAATTCAACGCAAGCAAATTCGCCAGAAGAAAGCCGCGGAGCCTCGCCCTTGTCTTGCCTCAGCAGCCTCGGCCGGGAGGCAAATGATCGTGCGGCACAGGGGTTCACGACGTCTACGAAGGGTTCTTAGAAGGCTTGGGGGTAGGTCCCAATGTCTCTCCTGCAGTGAAGGAAGTCCCAAAACTCAGTCAGTCGCACTTGCGCCTATAGATGATGGCACCCTAAACCATCCAAAACAAAAACAAAACAAAACAAAAACAACTAAAAACGCCGCCCTCCCCGCGCCACACCCCCGCAACCACTCCGTCCAAGCGGCTTCTTGGCCTCCCGCAGCGCCTGGCCCGCCTGCGGCTTCGCCGCAGCCGCGGCGGCCGCCCGCGCCAAGGTGGGCTCCAGGGCGCTGACCTCCCCGGGCTCCTCGCGCGGTGCGAGCGGAGCGGCCGTCGCCTGGGAGAGCAAAGCCGCCCCGAGAAAAACTGGTGGAATGGTTCGAGCAAGGCAGGGAAGGATGGCCTAAAAAAAGAAGAAGCGAACAAAGCAAACACATCCATGTGTTGGTTTCCTTGAAGGGAAGCACAAAACTATTCATTCCCCACACCCGCACTCGGAAAGTCATTCCCTATCTATCGCACCAAGTTCAGTGGCGAAGCCGACGAGGTGACTGGCTGGCCCTTTGGGCCCCGCCCTCCTGCAGAACCTCCGCCGGGCTGTAGCCGACAACCTCGGCGAGTCTCCCTTTTCCCGGCGAGGTGCTCGAAGGTGCGTGGCCCAAACCACTCTGCCCAAGGCCTGTGTGCAGTTCCTTGGTTCCTTTTTTCTGGTGCGAGGCTGTCCCTTTAACACACACATATATATATATATACGGATTATATACGCAAGCACCAACAAAGACTGTCAGTTTTTGCCTGGGCGTTGCTGTTGCACCCCGTTCCAGCTCCAGACCACTACTTGGTCAGCTGGAAGCTAGCTGTTAGGTGGCCTGCCACTTGCTCTGAAAATTTGTGTTCCAGGGAGAGCCTGCTTCTTTGAGTCTAAGATTAGCTCCATCACCCGGGGGAGAAATCGGGTAGATACTCCTTGCCCCGTGGTCCTGGGAGAATTTTGCTTCAAGATAGGGCCGGAAGGGACCACGATTCTCATTCGGCTGCCTCAGGCTCCAGCGCTGAAGGATGCGCCTGCGAGTTTCTCCGTGGCCAACTCCGGGAAGGCAGGACTGAACCAAAGGAGATACCCGGCCATGAATTTAATAGGGAACCACCTCAAGAGTGATTGGTGGACATCAACCCCCACCTAAATAATGTCCACCAAAGGGTCCCTTATCAAAATCCATAGCCACCCTTCCTCACTAACATAGCAACTGTGGTAGGGTACCCGGAAGATCAATTCCCTCTTGGAGCGAGCCACTGTCAGGTGCCATGCTAGTGGAAGGGAGGGAAGTTGCCTTTTTCCCAGACTTGCAGAAGTGGACAGGGGCCCTTTCAACGAGACAGCACCCTTCCACCCCGATCTTCCACTTCCATCATGTCCGGCAAAAGGCTACCTATGAGGACATGCAACCAGCACGTGAATGGCCAAGCATTGTGCCTGAGGTGTGCTTGCTGAAGCAGCGCGCCAGGGAAGTCACGGCTGAGTTCAGCTCATCCTCACAGCTGCCCTTCCTGAAGCAAAGGGATGGCAGCTGGCAAGGGCTGTGCTGCACTGCAACTCGTGAAGCTGGAAACCACCAGGATGCTTCGCAAGAACAGCTATCGGAAGAGATTCCAATTGCAGCCACACCTCCGGAACGGCAATGGGGATAAAAAGGGCCACTTTCAAAGGCTCTGGTGCAATGACTCACCTCTCTCTGTACTTCGAAACGAGACCAGGCCAAAGCACTTGCAGAAGCCATTGACTCGAAGCTGCATTTTTGTTAGTTTTGCTATACTTCACAAAAGTATGCATAATCATGGGGCTGTTTCTACCCCAGGTAAGCTCCATGGTGCACGCAACGAGCCGAGCTCTCTCGCCAATCTGCTGCCCAGACGCGCCCCGGACACATCTAGCACGAACACCACCTGAGGACGTCCTGCCAGCGCCATGCGCGCGGTCCGCTGCTTAATGCGGGGCTTGTGATGTATCGAAAGCGTCCAGCGGGAATGGGGGATCAAGTCATCTTGGTTGACGTATTTAAATTTTAGCAGCTAAGCTCAGCTAAGTGGGGATTTCCCACTAAACCACAATCAGCAAAAATGTAAAATGTTTACCAACAACAACCATGTCATGCGTGGGATGAACATATGCAGAAACCAGAGTCGGATTTGTAGTGCCTCGCGCAATAGCATGCATGTGAGGGAGGGGAAGCAAAAGGAGGCCGAAGCCCAGTCTGGGGGTTCGCAGCCTGAGACAATCCCGAGCAAAGCGAAAGGGGCCATCCCGTGCCTTCCAACATCTGTAGCAGCGCCGCGCAAAAGCGCGCCAACGTCACCTCGCGCACGTGTCTCGTGCAGCCCACGAGCCACTCGGACATTTTATGGAGATCCGAACTGACCATCTTAAGGCCTCAGAGCTCTTCCTTGGGGAATCCTGGCGGCTTCGGGCTTGGGGCTCCATACAGGGTTGTCAGTTAGACGAACATAGTCGTCGTCCCACTCACCCGTTTTGGTTCCAACGTCCAGTCCATCTCTTCCTTTTTTCGAACCAATCTTCCCCGTGGATTCTCATGGCACGGTAAAACACTTTGCCCTTTGCCCCATCAAAATGAACAGGGCTTAACCGCCAAATACATTCCAAAGTGAAGGCTATCTCCTGCCTGCCACGCATCTTCCTTGATACCCCTTGCTCAAGTCCTCATTCCCCAGCGGATGGGCCAAGAAAAGTCCAAACTGTTTGTCTACCACTAAGGGTGTCCTTTTGCCATGAGGATTTTCTTACAACTTCAGTTGCTACGTGGCTTCACCCACCTGGCCTGGCGCCCGCTTTCCGCCTCAGCCTTTTGCAGGGCCATCAGCAGCCGAGCATTGCGAGCCTTCCGCAACACCCGCTGCTCGCGAAATGTCACGCTTTCCGGGACACACGAAGTGCCAAACAAACCTCAACTGGTTGAAATGTGTGCTTGCAAACTTACGATCATTCCAGAACCATCCAGAACCCTTGCAATGTTTCACTGCAATACTTAATCCTGACCTTGGGGGGAGTTCCGGAGCCTGAAATCCTGAAATCTATAGCCCTCGCTGAAATCCCAGCCGGAGGACCGGGGTCATCTCCCAGCCAAGCTTCAGCATCTCCTCGGCGCCCCGTTCCCCGTGCGCTTCCCCCCCACGCTTGCCTGAGCATCTGGAAGCCTCCTGCAGGAAAAATCGCACCAGCCATCCTCCAGTCAGATTCCACGTTAGGAGGAACACCCTACCAGAGCTGTAAGTCACCCTTCTTGAACATCTGTTTCAGCCCTGCCTGTGGTTCGACCTCCTGTCCACGTGGCACTCCCCAAAAAAACCGGCCAGAATTGGACCGGCACATGCAAACTCCTTAGGCGTCCTTGTGGAAACATAGATGGCGCTGGACAAAGTTACCTTTAAGGACACCTACGGATTTGCCAAAGCGACAGTGGAGGTGAAGGGGTGCCGACACCCGTTTTGCGGGCACTCCACCCCCCACATTCTCAGTTCAGAACCACGCGTTTTCCCGGCAACCTGGTCCTGTTGGTCTAGCGCCACCATGCATTTACTCTCGGACCCCTCTCCAGGCTGAAAGGGCCGGTCTTCGTTGCAGAATCCCCTTGATCTCGGGGTACCGTCCCCATTCTTTCTAGAAAACCTCCGGAAATTCAGGAAACTAGTTGGGTTTTTGAGAAGAACCATGGTTGAAAAGAATGGAAAAGGCCCTAGAAACGCCGCAAAGTTGTCCGGCCGGCCAAAGTTGCCGCTTCTTCGACTTGCTATTTCACGTTCCTGCTTTGTTTGGCCGGAGCTCATTTCCGACTTTCTAGGGGTACCTTCCCCATTTCCAGGGATCCTTCCTTCTAGAAAACCTCTGGAAATCCAGGAACCATAGCTGGGTTCTTGAAGAGAAGGATGGTTTTTGACAGTCCAGCCCCAGACTTGTGGCTCTTGGGCGCCGTATCCGGAGCTTCTCCCGAGACTTGGGGGCCTCGGCGGGCCTCTCCCGGGCCCCCGGGCGCGCACCGCTTTGGCCGCCCGCTGCAGCTCCGCCTTGGCCTCCGCGGCGGAGATCTGGGCCATGGGGTCCTTCAGGCCTCGGCTCGAGCCGGCGAAGCCGCGGGGTTTTAGACGCCAGCGAAGACGTGGATCCAGTGGCCCCAGACCTGTCAGGCCTAGAGTTGAACTCACCAGATAAAAATACATACCCAAACAGTCTAACATGTGTTGACTCGTGGGAAATACTAAATTCATGGATGTATTTATCATTTCATCTAGACCATATGCTTAGAATTTTGACCAAACGTCTCTAAAGTGCAATTTATCACTAAGGGGAGCAGCCTTGTGAACACGCTTTTTCATAAGGGATCCAGTGGAGGGTGGACCCTCTAACCTGGCATTTGAGCAGTGGTCGCGACGAGGGGGATCAACAACGAATGCAAAGTCCGGGATCCTGTGCCGGCCAGCACCAGTCGTGACTAGTGATCCGGAAAGAATACAATACACCAGTAACCAAAAGGGCAGCTCGAGGGTGCCAAGCCCAAGAACTTGGCAGTTGTAACTAGAGAGTCTGGGCGAATAATTCGTTGCTAGTAGCTATGGACCATGAGGGGTCATGACCTTTCCACTCTCCTTGCAACTTCTGCTGTCGGCTGACTCAAGCTCACGGCTCAAACAAACACTCCGGGCAACCCAGAAGTAGCATCAAAACGCCGAAGGATCCACGGGAGCCATGGCTATCCTCAACAGTTTGTTGAAGGTCCTGGGCAAACAGAAATTGTCTCCCTTGGTTTTGGAAAGTCCTTCTTCAAACAAAAACATGCGGGCAACCGAAGCCTAAGGAACTGGGAGAAACACACATAAATCTATTCCTGGGAGGTCACAATACAGATTTTCTGTGTCATGCGCAAGTTCAGCATTTGGGAAGTAAGGGTGCACCTTGCAAAGGGTGGACTCGCCAGTGATGCAACCCCCCTCCCCCCCCAGGGGAGGCAAAAGGACAACCATTGGCCTTTGAGACGCTCGGCGAACGGATCAAGGATCACCGTGAAACACCGTGAAGATGCACCTTGTTAAACACCATCCTGCCAAAATCAGGGGAGATTGGCGACCAAAGTCTGATGTTTCTGCCACGCAGAAAGGGCCATATAAATTTTAAAAAAAAAAACACTAAAACACGTGCAACATGTGCTTTTGTGTGCTTTCCCCGCCCAGCAAGTCAGCCAGATGGGCCCAAAGGAGTAAAGCAGTAAAGCCGAAAAAAAAAGGAAAAAAAAAGAAAAGAAAAAAAAACGATCTGCAATCGCACCACATCATTGCTCACATGCACACACATATATACCACTATAAATACATTGTTATATATGCACATACACACGCATATCTTTACAAAAGACATTATGTATCAGATTGTACCTCTTTAGCCTGCACGCGCGCGCTACATTTGCTTTTTCCACCTTCCCGACGGCTAGCTTCTCACGTGGCATGTCCTTGTGCGCCGCCTGCGACTGACATGCCCAAGCGGTTGTTCAATCAACGCCTTCTGAAGGAGGGCTCTGAGTTAGTTCCTCAAGAGCTTGGGTGCACATGTATAAGGGCTATTATTCAAACATCATGCTTCTTGGTTCCCCTTACCGGGGCCCGGGGTTGCTTCAGTTTTGCACAACCCGAGTGCCAAGTCCAAGTCTGAATGCCGCCCTTCCCCAGCGATGGGCCACAAGGTAAGTGGCCGAAGCGTGAGGACCTGCAAAACATGGGGTCCAAAAACCCATGGCTGGCACTGGCTCTGACCCTCTCCGTGTGGATTTTGGTTGTGGCTCAGATGGGCACAGCAGTGTCAGTTGGCAGAATCACCTTCCGGCGCTCACTTACACCAATGAAATCAAGCTTTCACGACCCATGGACCTGTAAAACACAGGCAGGCATCGCCCGTGACAAGTCGCAAGGCCATGTTCAACAAGTTCATGGCGTGAACTTCGGTGCGTGCTGAAGAATGACATTCACCCGTCCCCCTCGCCTTTTGAGAGGAACACGTGAGGTGACTCCCAAGCGTATCCGTCCTCTCAGGTGGGGGAATGGGAGGATGCACTGCTGCTGCTTTTCCGGCCTGGATGCGAGGGGGGCAAAATTGACCATCGCACAAAGATTCTTACAGAAGGGTGAATGTCTTCAGTACCATTTAGGGGGCAAATATAACGCCACCTTGAGGAGTCCCTTGTTCAGGGAATTCAGGAGTAACCCCAATTTTCCGACATTTGTGTCTGTCTACTTTGAGGGTACTTGTTTAAGGGTTGTATCATAGGGAAAGCAAAGGGACACCTCCCATTTTGGGTATGGTGTCCCCGCTATTGCGACAAGCCCATGTGCGAGCACGGATTTCAACAACCAGCTCAACATGTCACGTTCGGCAGTCCCACACAGGGGCCGAATTGAAGAGCTACATCGGACGTGCCGCCTGATCACCGCAAGAATTCAACGCAGCATCGAATGAAGTGTTTCTGTCGAGTACTAAACAATTACAAAACTGGGAAAACAACGCGATGATGTTTGTAGGGGTTCCGAAAACTGGCCTACATCCAACTGCAGCAATCAAAACCAACAATACACATAACAATACACATGCCATCTCAAACATGCCCCTCGCCAGTCCTCACCCCTAATAATACAGAGGAATACAGGCCCCCTAAGAAATGCGACATGATGTGGCAGAACCCAAATTCTAAACCAGCAAAATGTCCCACCAGGTCCAACCCCAGTCGTATCCCCCCCTGCGGGAGTCAAACTTCAGAACTGTTACCCCAGCATCTCCCTACAGAAAGCACCTGCTTCACTCCCGGGGGGAAGCCCGGCCCCCTAAGAAGAACACATAATTGTTCACAAACCA